TCAGCATATCTGAACTGATCTGTCTCCTACATACGCACTCAGTGTTCTTATAGAGCGAAAGGTAACGCACACCAGCCTGCATGCACTCAATGATTGACGCGATGTAGATCTCCTGAAAGATTGTTTTCATTTCTGTCATATGATCCACCTGTTCCAAAAACAGTCACATCACATGATCACATCACAGCCATCTGACCTCATTACACCTGAGAGTTCTTGGTAGAGGTGTGAAAACACGCTATAAAAAAAGAGGGTTATTTAGAGCAATGCCATAGAAGAACCACTTTTTTTTGCTTCTTTGTGGTTTCAAACTGTGGTTCTTTATAGAACATGACATGTATGAGTGTGAAAAGCCTTTGTAAACTTTAAAGACCTCCATGTAATTTAGAAAAACTGTGCAAATTAAAGGATTTTCCTACAACCATGTGTCCAAATAAAGACCCGATTAGGAACATCTACTTCAAGAGCACAAGAGTCTTTGTTTAAATTGCATTATTAAGATTGATCTCACTGTAATGATGACTCAAACCAACCGGAGTAACTGGAGACAGACTGGAAAAAAAAGGTCCTCCTTTACCTGAGCTTTGACCTGAGCAGTGTTGAATAACTAACTGCATCTCACAGTCAGTAACCCAGTCAAAGTCCTCCATCTCGGGAGGCAGAGCCACAGCTGAAGGCCTGCATTGCACCCAGGAGAATGGGAGAAAAACAATGGGCCCTAAAGCAAAGATCTGACAGTGGCAGGAGGAGGAGGAGAAAGAAACATCACGCTCACCTGCAGATAATGAAGTGCAGTTGGGTGATGAGTGAGACTGTTAGCCCTTCCTCCTTTCCACCAAGGCCACAGCTTCCTCTGACTCAACTCCTCTGTTCATGCAAGAGTAACCAAGAGGCAACAGCAGCCTACACAAAGGGGCAAAACTTCAAAACACCAGCCTTGGCCTTCAAAAAGAGCAACAGCTCCAGCCTGTAAAAATGTCCAGAATACTCCAAATAATCAGGTTAAAACTTCGTCAAAACACTTCAAAAAACTCCAGTCTGCAAAAGGGCAAAAACTCCAAAAAGATCAAAAAGATCAGTCTACAAAAAGTGCAAAACCTCCAAAGAACCAGCAAGTAAATGGTGCAAAAACTCCACAATATCAGCCAGTAAAAGTTGCAGAAACTCCTATGAAGCCAGTAAAAAGTCCCAATATTCCAGAAGATCAGCCTGAAAACGTGCAAAAACTCAAAAAGATCAGCCTAAATCATCTAGTAAAAAAAATCATACAAAACACCCAAAAACACCAGCCTGCAAAAGTCCCAAAGCTACAAAAAGATCAGTGCAAAAAATCCAAATAATCAGCCAGTAAAAAGTGCAAAAGCTTCAGAACACCAGCTTTAAAAACCTCCACAGGATCAGCCTGAAAACTCCTAACACTTCAGCAGAAGAGCCGCGTGTGAACAGCCTCAGCCTGAAAACCCTCCAAAAGATTAAAGCCCTCCAGAGCAGCGTCACCCGCCCCGCCCCCGCCTTATTTCCTACACGGTGTCCGCGATGAGCCCAGTAAAAATGAGCCCTGAGTGAAAGAGATGAAGCCTCGGCTCTGCAGGGCTGACTGTCTCCACACCACACTGCTCAGAGTCAGTGAGGGGCGTGGCTAGCCTCCTGCCCATCAAAGAGAGCGCGCGAACAGCCCCGCCCTCGTCACCACTAGCAACCGGTTTGATGACGGTTAGCCTGCCGAGGCAGTTTGTGTACAGACAGCAACGTTAGCTAAACTGAAGCGCCATTTAAGTCATTAACGCGCATTAATGCGGCGGAGCTCTCAGACAGAGAGGTAACAACACCCTAAATCTGCTCTGACTGTTAAGTTTTTACGCTTTTACACTAATAGTGTCTTTCTCTAGGGTTATAACTTTACAGTATGATCTGTTTCTTCTTCGAATATTCCGGTCCACCTTAAATGGCACTTCTGCCGCTGGTACAGGCGCCGGAATGTAACGGACTGCCTCATCACTTAAGGTGGAACGGAAAATTGGAATAAGAAGCTAACTTTAGCTTTGTATCTGGCTCAAACCTAACAAGCTAGCTAGCTGAATAACTTAACACTGTAACTCAGTTCATTAAATGGCTTTAATTTGTCTCAATCAGCTCTGCGTTTCTGAGAGGTTGGGTTTATTAATTTGGATATCGGTTAAATCTGCAAACAAAATATGACAAACGTTTGGACCTTTAGCCAAACATATAACTGAAGTTTTAGCTATTAATCATGCGAAATATTTTTTAGTTAAGATCTCTTAGTGAGCTTAAGCTAATAAAGTTCATGTCCTTTGGACTCAAAGCTGACAGCTACCAACTGTTTAATTATCAGAGCTGCATGAGAGCCTCAAAGGGGAATTCCACTGATTTTTCAAAATTTCTGTGTAATTCAGTGTTTGAGATGAAACCAGATTCAGAGTGGCTTGTTGTGAAATGCTTAATTGTGGAGACTCAGATTTCTTTACGGTGGTGCTGATAGGAACCAGGGGTCACCATGTCTACAACACAGATATAGCCATTTTATTTACTATCCAGACCCACCAATGAACCTACACGTGTCTTCTGAGGTTTTATATGTAATGATGATGGTAAAATAGTGGAAAATCTGAAAAATTGACTTTTCGTTGGGGACTATTTTTCCTCACAGTACCCTAATTGTATTCTTCCACCTTAAATGGATTAAAATAAACTGATTTCAATACATTTTTGACCAGAAACTTTATCACAGAACTATCGTAAAGCAGTGTTTCAGAGATCAGTCTGTGTATTCATAACTATTTCATGTAATAACTTTCTGTGAGGGAGCTTTTAGAGACATTAGACGTCTAGTTCCCATCACCTCCACTGTGAACCATTCTGATCACATTATCACATTATCAGTCTCTCTGTCTTGTGATCTAATGTAAAGCTAGTTCAGTAAGTCCTTTGAAAAATGCACACTTGGGTCCTGATTTAAGAAATTCTTAAGAAAATGTTCTCATTTGTGATTTTTATTTAAAAGGGAACTCAGGGTAAGAATATTTTTCTCACTGAAATTGAGCAGAACTATGGTTATTATTTGAAAATACTCAGAAAACTCAAAATGGTTTTACCTAAGCAAGCTCAACTTAGCAAATGTAACTAGTTACTACCCACCTCTGGTTAAGCCTTAATCTTATTTCTCACCAATTCCCAGATTAAATAAACACATTTCATGTAGTCTGTATGTGTAAATCATTTTCCACCACTAGATGTCGCCCTACGCCAGTGTTTATCAGCAGAGACGTAAGATGGCAAAGACATAGACTTTTCAAATGATATATTTCTACTACTTTTATTTCTACTCAGGTACATTTGTGAAGGAATTTCTCCTCAGTTCTCATTATGTGAAACCGAGTCTCTTGAGTTTATAATAAGTCTCTGAACAGTCAGCTTTTTTATTTCCACTGTTATTATGAGTTAAACGTCTCAAGATGCTTCAACCAAAATGTCTAAATGCATATAATTCTTATGTTTGCAGGCATCATGAGTGCAAAGAAACCCAAGAGTGGCGTGAGCAAAGTGAAAGGTAAGTTAGCCAGCAGAAAGTACGTAGTGCTTATAGAGAATTATAGCTCCAAACATTAACAAATGTATTTCTTTTTTATTTCAGACAAAAAGAATGACCCCCCTTCACCAAAGGAAAGTTCTGTAGAAACAGGTAAATGACTCGGAATGCTTTGCAGATTTTTCTCACTCCACCAGACTCAAGGCCTAGACAGCATTAGGAATAACTATAAGGAACTTCATAAACCAAACATGTTCAATATTAATATGACATATTTTGGCTGGGCTAATTAATTTTGGAATTAATTAGCCTGGCAAGACTGTAAGAAGGTATAGGTATATTTTTGTCCTTATTTATTCACATTCATGTAATATTGACCCAGACCTGCATTCGAGCCTTCATTTACATAAGCTCTTTGGTAGGTCACCCAGAGGACAGAGAGCTTAGCTAGAACCTCAAATCCTGATTTTCGAAATAATTCAGTCATTAAGATTTAAACAAAGTCATTCAGAGTGGTTTGATGTGAAATTATTCATTGTAGAGAAACTTACAGACTCAGATTTCTTTATGGTGGTGGTGATAGGAACCAGGGGTCACCATGTCTACAACACAAATATAGACATTTTATTTACTATCCAAAACCACCAGTGAACCTACACGAGTCTTCAGAGCTTTTATATGTAACATTGATGATTGTAAAATAGTAATAAATCTGAAAAAATCACCCTGCATGTGCCTCTCCACCATGAAAAATACACCAAAACCTTCTCAGAACTATCATAAAACAAAGTCTCAGACATCTCAGTGTCTTTGTACCCATTTAATGTAATAAGTTTCTGTGGGAGCTTTTAGAGGCATTAAGCTCTTCAAATGTCTTAAAACCAAGCCTGGAAAATGGTGAAGCCAAAACCTCAGAAGATCATTTACAAAAACATGTAAACTGACATTTCAGTTAATTGAGTTTTGTGAGCGTCACCACAGAAACCACATCAAGGCAGTCTACAGACACAAGGCTATAAAAAGGCTATAAAATCAGTCATTTTAAGATAAAATCATTCATTGAGAGACTGTTTGCTTTCAAGCTTAAGCTTTCCCTTTCATGTTTTGTGTTTGACATCATCCAGAGGTAAGGCTTTTTTAAGTCATCAAAGTGATCTCCATGTGAATCTTCCATTCACAATCTAGGTCGCCCCCTGGTGGCCAGAGCTCTGGATTGCAGCCTCTAAAATCCATTGGGTTAAAGAATTACACTTTATTTGTTTGTTCTAGAGAAATTTGCAGAGTTGCACAGAATTGTTTACAGTGGTGGTGATGGGAACAAGACACCCACCTCTGTAAGCTCCCTCACAGAAAGTTATTACATGAAATTTTATAAATAAACTGCCTGATGTCTGAGAGATTGTTTTATGATAGTTTTGAGAAAAAAGAAGACAGAATAATAAATAAATAAATAAACAGAGTAGTAAATGACAGGCATTCTAAGGTGAAATAGTCCCCAAAGAAAACATATTTTCAGATTTTCCACTATTTTACCATCAGCATTACTTATAAAAGCTTAGAAGACTCATATAGGTTCACTGGTGATTTTGGATAGTAAATAAAATGATTTGAAATTAATTTTCCAAGTTGTGCAGGCATTTGACATTCCTCGATCCGCAGTGTCACGTGTGTACCAGGAGTACGTCATAGAAGGCATTACCACCCACAGTTGACAGCGCAGTGCCCGCCCACGAGTGCTTAATGATTGTGACCGGTGACGTCTGGCTAGAACTGTCCATGCAAACAAACAAGCGAAATCACATCCACATTCAGTGCAAGAGGCCCCATACACATATCCCACAGGTCAGTGCAGCGTTCTTTAGCTTCCATGGGATATGGGAGAAGAAGAGTGCCTCTGTTAACACCAGTTAACAGTACTAATTGTTTCGGGCTGATGGCAGGGTTCATATGTGGTGCAGACCCCATGAAGCAATGGACACCAGTTGTCAACAAGGCACTGTGCAGGCCGATGGTGGTTCCATGCTGGTGTGAGGTGTGTTCTCATGGCATAGGTTGGGTCCACTGGTCCACCTGAACATGTCATTGACCGTTTCACTGCTTGGTGACCATTTGCAGCCGTTCATGGATTTCATGTACCCCCACAATGATGGGATATTCCAGTAGGCCCAAGTTATCCAGAATTGGTTCAAGGAACATTCCAGAGAGTTTGTATGAATGATGTGGCCTGCATGTTCGCCCAACACGAGCCCGGTCGAGCATTTATGGGATGTGGTAAAGAGGTCCATTCGCACCAGAGATTCTGCACCCAAAATTACCTCAGTGCTGTGGGTGGCTATCCAGACAGCATGGCTCAGCATCCCTCCAGACGTCTTCTGTCCACTTGTGGAATCGATGCCACGTCAAGTTGCCGCACTTCGCTGGGCTAGAGAGGTCCTACATGATACCAGTTCCTGTACCGTGACTTTTAGCATGTCAGTGTATTTGTGCTGTCGACATGGCGACCCCTGGTTCCTATCATCACCATTGTGAGAAAGGCCATCATCAAACCTTTCTGAATGATGTTTATACCATCAGTCAACCATCAGTCATCAGCGACTGTGTCAGAATCAGAATTAGAATCTTTATTCACACAGTACCAGATGTGCAAGGAATTTCTCTAATTATGTGGACGTTATGAAAAATCAGTTAAATCCCCCTTTAATACAGCCTCGCTTTAATCAGCATGAATTAAAGAATAATAAAACAAATAAAATGATGAATATGGCTAAAATTATCAAGGCTTCAGGATTCCTTCCAAATAAGGATCTTAGCAGTTGTCACGGAGGTGCTCGTGCTGAATAATGTGTCAGTTGATGTTATTTGTGTGAGAAGACACTGAAAAGTATTAATGTTACAGTTTCCTTCCTACAGTAACCCGCTCTGCACGAAACCTGTGATGTCATGTGCAATGTATAGTCGGGTTTCCTCGAAGGGATAAACACACGCACCCCCTCTTTATGTATGCTATTATAATACGAGACACTGTATTCTGTTTCAAACCTCCCCGGTGGTCTCTCAGCAGAGTGACGGTGTATATTTACGCTTTAGCTCGCAGGAGGGTTTCTGTATTGTTGCGTCTCTGCAGCTCTACACCTGGTACGTGCTTTTGGTCATCCGCTTCTTTCATAACTCTCACAAACACGGGGTCTTCTCTTACCCACTGTTACGTCAGGAGCACTTTGATGAGCGGAACGTGATAGCTCAGGCTGATATGAGCTTCTTTAGCTGAGGCTCCGCAGGGACTCCACAGATTTATCAGTCCAGACTTGCATTCTTTGGTCTGTTATTCTATAAGGGTATTCAAAAGAAACAAAAAAGCGACATATCATCGCTGTCACACAAAAATGTTGTCATTTTTTAGTTTTTTGCATAATTTGAAAACTCCAGTTTCCCTTTGCATTATGTTAAAAATTCATAATAAACAATAGAAATGGTCACAAATTGTAAAAATCTTCTTACATTAATTTTCATCTTTCATTACAAGTTACATGTGTTTTGCCTCTTACTAACTAACTTTACAGGAGAAGGAAAAAACATACTTTACGTTTAATGTAAGTCAATGGAACCAGACTTTTTTCCAAGTCGTTTTGGGCTGCTTTTTTCATTCATTCATCATGCAATGACACACAATGTAAAGGGCAACAGGTATTTTCACATTATTTCAAAAGCTGAAAAACGAGGTTTAAATAACCTCAATTCCTTTGTGAAATGTTTAATAAACATCCTAAACAGTTAATACAATCACAGGAAAGGGCCCAGAACTGTATGATCAAAGATGGTTCCAGGCTCAACACTTTGGCAAAAGTGCATCTGCAAATAATCCAGTGGTTTAAGAACTGATCATCATGCTTCCGTGATGGACATCACAACATGGGCTTGGTCCAACTTTGACAAACCGTTGTCAGTAAACACTGATCATCACTGTAAGTTAAGACTGTGCTATGCACAGTGGAAGCCATATGTCAACAACATCCAGAAATGCTTCCATCTTCTCTGAGGAGCGATATACACTGGAAACTTGTGTTGTTGTCTGACAGATCAACCTTTCAGATTGGTATAATGGACATTGTGTTCAGTTAGTCAAAGAAAGCTTCATCCTGATTGTTACCAGTGTAAAGTTCAAAAGTCAGGGTCTGTTATTAGTGGGTAACCTGCGCATCTGTGAAGGCACCATTAATTCTAAAAGTTATGCAAAATATGCTGCCTTCTAGATGACACGGTTTTCAAGGAAGACCATGTTTGTTTATACGTGATGTAACCAAGCCCCATTATGTACATGATACAGCAGCATGGCTGTGTAATCAGAGAGTGTGGATGCTTCACTGGCCAACCTCTCCCACTGAAAATATGTGGCACATTATGAGGTGTAAATTACAACAGCAGCTGCGCCACAGAAGACTTGTCTAACAAAAAATAACCTTTACAAACCTGGACCAGTTTGCCTTCAGTCCCCAAATGTTTATTGAGTGTTGTTAAAATGAAAGTTGATGTAACACATGGGTAAACATGCTCCTGACTCAACTTTTTTGGAAATCAAATTTGAAATGATCATATATTTAGAGAAAAACAATAAAATTTGTATGGTAAAACATCAAATATGATGTTTTTGTATTGTTTTCAATGTAATACAGATCAAACAGAATGTACTAATCACTGCTTTCTGTTTTATTAACATTTCACAGGCTGTCCCAACTTATTAATTTATTCAGAGAGAGATGTATAGTAAACAAATTTATGGCAACACTTTGACTTTTATGCAGTAACTTTCTTATATGGTCAGTAAAGTGTTTTTCAACTGGGTCTTGAAACATATATATTAAGTTATAATGGTAGTGGAGATTCTCTAATTCCTCATAAGCGAATAAGAGTTAAATAAGTCTTTGTTCTCCGTGTGTTGGGTGGGGTTAGCCTGGAGGACTGAGCCACCCTTTTAGGAAGTCGTTTGTAGGTGCACGTCTCAGTGTTGTTGTTTTTTTTCCCTCTGCTTCTCGTCAGTAGTGTACAAGCTTTTGAAGAGGCGTAGAGCAGCCTGCACACTGTCATTACACTAAGCCGCCTTTACTGGCGTGTGTTGAGTCTCAGGGAGCCCTGTGTTTAGGCCTGCTGGATGGAGGCCAGCTCACAGTAGGCCTGTGCGTTTTTCCCTCAGGCCAGAAGGGACTAATGGGCATGGCATTGTTCTCAAAGAGCCCTGCTCTCAGTGCTCGACTGTATAGAGGCATGTGTCAGAATCTGCTATAGGAATTTGTACTACATTTCCCATGGTGCCCTCAAGGCGTCCTATATTTAGTTAATCCATAGCTCTCTGAAGTCAAGACGTCTTTCTGTAGTCATTATTATGCCCATATTAGGAACTCTGGGTCTAAGCTGATTTCTCAATGGGGAAAATGAATGGTGTTTTCAAAAATCGCTGCTATCGCGCCCTGTGGTTAGCAAAAATGGTTCAAACCTGATACATTTTGCTGTACATTAGGAGCAGGTGATACAGCAAAGCTGTCTTATGACAATACTCAAAGACATTTTTATCATACACAATACATATCACAATATTTTGATACACAATTACAATGTACTCATTGTTCCGCATTTAAAAACAGCCATCAAAAACTCAATACAATTATTATTATTGAACTTTTCACATTCTGTGTTGCACTCAATCCTGTTAAACTGGATTATGATACTCTCTTTTTAATAAAACATGCAAGTGGTCAGTGTTCTTCAAGAGACATTATCCACAACATGCTAATCACTATAACAAAATCTACTACAAAGACAATAAAATACAGCCCACCATGCAGAAATCTGTTATATGGCAATATATAGGTTTCAAATGTATGATAAATTAAATATTTGACATTATCATGTAGGGATATCCAACTTACATTAGTTACATATGAACATATACATGAATATATATGCCAACTTATTTGAACTTACTGGCCAAATACGGGACATATATTTCAGTCATATAGCGAAAAAAAAATAATAATTTATGAAGTAATTTACCTGATTTACCTCGATAATAGTTGATCAGCCAAGACATTTTTGTAGTTAGCTTCTTTAGTTTTGCACCAAAGCTACAAGGCTAATTTAGCTAATATGTAAAGTACAGTTCAGACTGCAATATGGCTGCTATCACTGTTGTTTGCTACACTATGCCATTTTTTCCATTTTTATAGATAACAGTATGTCTTACAATGTCTATTTGAGGTTACCTTCCAACTCAACACTATTTAAAGCAAGTATGTAATGATTTAGGCATGCATGGTGTTTAATGGTGGGTTTAATGGTGAGCTTCTATTACTTGTTAGCTACATTAGCTTCATAGCTGCTGTACAAAACTGAAGGAAACATTGGACACATCTTGGCAAATAGACTACATTTGGAGTGAAGGTAAAACTGTAAACTTGGGAGATATCCAAAGCAGTTTGGAGCAGAGAGAGTGCTGTGATAATATGTACTGTGGAACAGATGCCAGTGAGGTGAATAGAGGTGGTTGGTGCATCTGACCCATGTTTCCGTCCACCTGTCACAGGTCACCCAGACTACATCTTCCCTCTGGTCCTTACCTCCGCCACACAGGAGCTGTTTGGTTGCCGTGCCGATGAGGATGTGACCGGGGACGACCCCTACAGGCTGCTAAAGAAAGAGGACATCATTCAGGATATGAAGACCAGAGCGGCTGTTTCTGACTTCAGTCCTATCAAACAGGCTGTGCTGGTCAGTCTGCTGCAATCATACTCATTCACTTAGCCCATGTATGTCAGGCCCCAGGCCTTGAGGGCCAAAACACTGCAGACTTCAGCACGCTGCCTCATTAAACACACCTGATTCAGCTCAACGGCTAATTAGCAAGGCCTTCATGAACTGAATTTAGAGTGTTAGACAAGGGTAAACGCTAATATGATGCCGAGTATGACATGCCTGACTCAGCACATGAGTGGCTTAAAGATCAGCGCAGACAGGAGATGGCACATGGATACAAAGTACTCAGAGATCCTGCATGAACCTCATAGCAGAATTGGTAAAAATAGTGACATGTTGCCATGTAAACACTGCCATGGTGAAAGCATTACTAGTATAGCAGTGGTGTTTCTATCCATGCATGAGCCTATGGTATTATCCTCTACACCGTCCTGTGAACCATTTCAATTTGCAAATGTTTCTCAGTTGTTTGGGTTTTGTTGTATAAAGGCGGGTGCTGGGTTGCCCAGTTATCTGATTACAGTGTGCCTTTTGGTGTCTATGTTTCCCAAAAATTCAACATGGGTGTGTCAAGATATCAAAATTTGGGAAAATTCATCCATTACCAACATAATATAACCAGCGTAACAGGTATGATGAGGTGATTCGAGTGGGTTTAGTTAAGTTCAAGTGGCAGTTTAGCAAGAAATCAATTTTTCACAATGTATTGCTTACTCTAAATGTAGTCAATCAGCCAAGACATGTTTAGTGACTAAAGTTTACTTCTTTTGTGCTGGAGCTACAAGGCTAAAGTAGCTAATAAGTAATGAAAGCTTATACCTCCTTCACCTATTGCGCTTTGTGCACGCCTAAATCATCATCTTATCTCAAACCTCGCTTGATGGAGCTTGGCTGGTCAATTACATTTGGGGCAAGAGGAAACATGACCTATCCAGAATGGACTGCACTTCATTTTAACAACATTTTCACTGCTGATATTTCAGGATACTGGCAAATATATCGTGTTAAGAACACTGCTAGAAACATCCTTTTATAAAACAGTGGCAGTAGTGATTTAGACCACTGTGTTGTGCTTCAGGATTATCCAGAAGATGAAATTCTGCTGGTGTTTGACCGAGATTTCACCTATGGCCAGAGCTTCTACCTGGTGCTCACGGTGGAGGCTAAGGAGAACCTGCTAAAGGTGAGGAGACACTGTTTTGTTGTGCTCAGTGACTCTGAGCAGTTAAATCAAGGTGACCTGAACCTTTAAACAAAGATCTAGTCAAGTTTCCAGTAGTATTGAGGAGTAACATTTCTCAGCAGTAAGAATTCTGATATGGAGGTCACCTCAGATCACAGTGGTTACTAAGTGAGCTTGCTTTGTTTCACTTTGTGCCATAAATAAGGCTGCAGCAGGTTTTTGTTTTTGTGTAAATAAATATGATTGATCTGTTCGGGCTGTTCTGTGTGTTCAGCCGCCAGCGGAAGTGGAGGGAGAGGAGGATGAAGGTGAGGAGTTTTCAGAGATCATACAGAAGACTCCTGAGCCACAGCCTTGGGTGTCTCTGGGCAGTGAGAGAGAGATTGAGGAGGAATCCTTTATGGACACTAGACCCAAAGTATGATACTCCACCACACACAAAATAAAAAAATAATAACACATGCAGAACATACATCTGTCCAAACAAACCAAACATTCATTCATTCATTCATTCATTCATTCATTCATCATCTATGCCGCTTATCCTTCTGGGTTGCTGGGTGGTGCTGGAGCCTATCCCAGCACTTATTGGGCAGAAGGCAGGAAACACTGTGGACAGGTCACCAGGTCATCACAGGAGTACGCAAAAGTCAGTGACCACCCTTCATTTATTTAGTTTCCAGTCAAAACAACCATTAAGTACAAGTTATTCCTGTTTTAGGAGATATTTCTGAGGAGATTAGATACAAGATAATCCACTATGATAAGTGAAAACACTGGAGCATCTGCAACATGTGGTAGACTAACTGTCCCCATCAGATAAACAGCACTTAAAGCTTTCATCTTTGAGAGAGAGAAGAAAATCAAGCTGCTTCAGATCTGAAAACATCCACAGGTGTTTCTGTCCATCCTTCCACTGTGAGAAGACGAGTCAGCGCTGTGGGTCTGAAAGGATGTGTAGCTGTCAAGAAACCCTCACTGAAAAAAGGTGTTGGAGTTTTCAGAACAATAGACTGAATCCAGACCTGAGCATCACTGAATCTTATACAAGTTAGTCCCGACCTTAGAGTCTGATTGGTTGAGAAGTGTTCTAACCGTGCTGATATTTGTGAAAACAGCACAGCTTTTTCACACCAAAACTGTATCACTCTGCTGACGCGTTGCCAAGTAACACGTTGCTGAGTAACGATAGGCTTTATGCACACAAACCTTGGATGACTTTATGATAACATGGCCTGCAGCCTGTTTGGCCAGACTCTGAGTAAGTGTGTGACTGCAGACGAACATCAGATTCTCAATCTGCCTTTACCGTGAAAACTGTTAGGTTGACTGCAGCAGCAGCAGAACAGCTGAACACGTTGGAATTGGCTAGAAAGGAACAGAATACAGCTCAGCAAACAAGATGGGCTAAAACTCGCTTTACAGACTGGCTATTACAGGTTATTTTGGCAACAAATGAAAAGGCTGAGCTGAACTTGATATTCCTACAGTTCTATGACTCTGTTCGTACTATAAAAGGTGAACCTTACAGTATCAGCAGTTATCTAGGACTGCACAGGGCTCAAGAGGCTGGGGAATTGTTACCGGTGCATTTGTTGTGGAACATTTTGGCGGAAGGTGTTGTCAGTATTAAAGCATATTCAGTATGAAATTTAGGGCTTCTTTGGTTTATTTTGTTTCTTTATAAAAACTGTTGTATAAAAGCAATAGTGGTCATGTGTTATCATGGCTGTGATGATTTACGTTACTCGCCAAATTACAGCCATGATGTTATTTGCGATAACACTTTTTCCCTCCTGTTCTGTTGTTTAAATATTATATTTAGTTGTTGAGGCTTCCGTGTAATATTCTGTTACGTTTATCTATGTTTTCTGCTTGTATCTTCTACCTAAGGCCATTTTTTTTGACTGGTCATTAAATAAATGAAAGTTGGTCTCTGACCTTTTGCACATTACTGTATCACATATGGAATAAACAAAACCAAACACACCACATAATGAACATCAAAACAGAGACAAGTATTATATTATATACACAACAAAGGAACCAAGCCTAGAGATGACTCTAACTGCCAAAATATGCCAACAACAAAGAGTTTTTAGGATCTCTTCGCTTGTTCTTCTCACTTTGTTTCCATCTCTTTCAGCTCTGCTATAGGATTTCTCGAGTGCGGCGAGAGTTTGGTGCTCCAGTGAGTTTCTCTACCTGCAATGCTGTGGAGCTGAGAGACAGCTGCATCGAGTGCAGCTCCTACCAGGACAAGAGCTTCAGCATCAGGAGAATGGAGAAACAGTGCGGAGTGCAGGCCATCCCCAACACCAACAACTCATCCACACAGACCATATGGTACTGCTTTATATACCTTATGGTACCTTTAACGTTTTCACACATATTGTAGTAACTTTAAAACCCTTTGCACATCTTAAAATGCCTTTAATACCTTTAATAATGTATTATTATGATACAGTAAATGTCTTTTACACATTGCATTGAACCTTTAATGCCTTTTATACAGCATAATGCTACCTTGATTGCTTTTTGTAGTACCTTTATTCTGTTTCATGCAGCATTTGGAACCTTGGAAAAACTTTTACACTTCTGATATTACCTTTAATTATTTTTACATGGTGTCTGACACTCTTAACCTTCTAAGTCTTTTACACAGCATATGGTACCTTTAATATATTTGTACAGCTTTTATATCTTTAATGCCTTTTACACATCTTATGGAATTGTTAATTCCTTTATTAAAGCGTATGGTACCTTTAGTACCTTTTGCACATCTTAAAGTAATTTTTAATCACTATGTCTTTAAAGCCTTTAACAGAATATATGGCTCATTGTAATGCCTTCATGATTATAATTTAGAAGCCCCTTTAAATGTTATGCCTAAATGAAAGATGTATGGTGAAAAGTGACTTATAAACCTGTGTGGGCTTATGCTTGGGTGCAGCGTACAAATAGAAATGAACCAATTAATATAATCAGTGGCTTTTATTCTGTCTCTATTGTGTTTTTAGAGGTCCTCTAGTGCATTACACACTCGATAATACAGTTAAAAATGTAACTGTTTCCAAACACTGCGTGTATTAAATTTATTAAAATCAATAGAGTTTTCAGTTGCTGGTCATGTATGTACATTCTAGCATCTGTTCAAACAGATCAAACAGATTTCACATCTGCTTTGAGGCATGTGAAAAATGTCACATCCACAAAAAAGAAAAAAAATCCAAACAAAATGATTGTAGTTTTTAAAGCCTGTTGCTCACTTCCAAAAGCTACCATACCATGAAGACAGTTTCCAAGAAGAGAACTGACAGATTTACATGCCCCTTGGGGGAAACATGAGGGTTTCTACAGAACTTCCTAGAAGCACTTAAGCTCAGCCGTGAGGGGGGCGTGAAGGTGAGAGATCTAGAACACGTAAGCATGTCAGTGCTGAGTGAGTGAAGCCGTTGGTGTTTGGCAGGAAGTACCCGAGGAACATGTGCACCCAGTATGAACCCAGAGAGCTGAATGAGGAGGAGAAGGAGAACATCCTGCAGTCAGAGAAGCTGAAGAACTTCCTCAACTCCGTCACCGCCAGGTCAGACACATCACTTATTAACATCCGGGCTTGGCCCTTTAAACTCTAAAGGGTCTGTATGTGGGATCACACTTCCTCACGGTTTAGTTTTATAGTAGTTACTGAATAATTCGGGATCATTCATAATAGATACTCAAAATTCAGAGTAACTACAGAGCGATTTACAGAGTAAATTAATCTTAATAGATAATAAATAATTCAGAGCAGTTACTTAATACTGTAGTCACTGAATAATAATAATAATAATAATAATAATAATAATAAAGCCCATGTGTGTGCAGGTTTGAGCTGGCCATTCAGCAGAATGTGATCATGGACGTCTTTGTGGATGACTGGTGGGCTCTTGGGGAGGAGGACGCTATGTTTGGAAGGAAAGCAGAAACACACCTGAAGGAGTATCAGTCCTTCACTGACCTTCACTACAGCAAGGAGAAAACCATCAGCTACATCAGCTGGCACCCCACCATCAGCGGTTAGAGGGGCTACAGTAACACACACACGTATACACACCCCACCATCAGCAGTGAGGAGGGCTACAGTAACACACACATGAGGGGGGGCTACAATAACACATAAGCACATATTCATTCCACACCATCAGCAGTGAGGGCAGGGCTACAGTAGCACACACACATACAGTAGTTTATTTTTTTTATTGAGAAGAGCTGGACATATGATTTAATGTGTGTGTGTGTGTGTGTGTGTGTGTGTGTGTGTGTGTGTGAGACAGGTGTGATTGCAGTGTCAGTGACTGAAAGGCTGTCGTTTGAGGAGAGGATAGACAGCTCCACTAATCTCCTACTGAACCCTGCTCTCATTCTCTTCTGGAGCTTCTCCGACCCCATCAACCCACAGGTAAAGCATAATACCGCACTCCTCCATCCATCCATCTATCCATCTGTCAGTTAACCCACAGGTAAAGCATAATACCGCACACCTCCATCTATCCATCCATCCATCCATCCATCCATCCATGTATCAGTTAACCCAAAGGTAAAACACTTGTTTTGCTCCATCTATCCTTCTGTAAAGATCTCTTTTGTTCACTGTATTTATCTCGTGTATTTCTCACACTGACTGTAGTGTTTGCCTAAAAGACTTTTTGGTTTTGTATGTTGACTGTGACACAGTTGAATAATTCGCAGATAAAGTGATCAAATATATGCAGTTTCTCCCTTTAATCCAAATACAGTTCATCAGCCGTGTTTGGTGTCTGAAGTTTTCGTTGCAGACCTCAGGCTGATGGAGTCAGGAGAAGATTATGTAAATCAGATTTTTTTCCTCTCGTTTTTAAGTTTGTATTTTCCAGTCTTCCCATGAGCTGAACACAGCAGTGAAGATGCGGTTGCAGCTGTATTGATCTTTCATGGCTAATGAATTGTAGCCGGGGATGAAAGCTTGGCGCTGGGCTTTAAACGCCGCGGCTTATCCTCCGCGGCCGAATAAGGTTTCATTGTTTCAGCGGATAATTTTGGCATGGCGGTGGGATGGAGGTTTAGCTATGATATTTGGTCTGGAAGCTGAAACTCAATCGCTGCGAGTCCGGCAGATGAAAGAGAGAACGGCTTTGAAATCAAACTCCTCTGACCACAGCCTTTTTTTCTCTCTCTCACTGCTTGTCTCTTTCTGCAGTTGCTACTGGAATGTCCGGACGACGTCTTCTGCTTCGAGTTCTGTCCCTCCGACCCAAATGTTATTGTTGGAGGCTGTATGAACGGCCAGGTGCGGTGTGTTTTTCTTCCACTTTCGTTCCTCACTCTCTTAATCCGTCCATCTCAGCTCTTTAGCCTTCATACTGTATCTCATCATGTATGCATATATTACTGGTTATTACATATAATTCTATAATTGCATGTTAACTTGTTATAAAGTTATATGTTATATAGCTTCTTAAGCAGTGAGGTCTAGCCAGCATGGTCTCATTCACTTAATGCCAATAGAAAGCTACTAGCATTCATCCATGGATAAGAGTGTCTTTATATTTGAGGGAATCTGTTTCGTCCTTCACTTAAACTTAACTTAAACTTGAATTTAATATAAAGTGATAGTTCTGCAAAAAAATCTAATTTCCACATTTCCACCCTTACCCCTAATGTAGTCGATCATGGTGTCTGAGGTTTGCTTCTATGGTTTTGCATTGGAGCTATGAAGCTGATGTAGTTAAGAAATAACAGAAGCCCATACCCCACCAGTTAGCATCATGTCTGTACTATCACATGCTTACCTCAAACTGTATCCAGTTTTAAATAATCTCTAATATACTTGCCTATATAGTTTCTGACACTGTATGACACATTGCTATGTACAACAATGAAAAAGCATGTTATGTGGCTAAAAAGCAGTAGCAGTAGAACAACTTGTAAGATAAGGGAAAAAATGCATTGAAAAAGTACATTATTTTCAGTAAAACGCCTCATTTGTGGACAGCCAAAATAAAAATGACCTCGATTTATCCCTTTGGTCGTTAAGCGCTTTGACACTCAGGCACGTTTCACCTATACTTTGGACTTGGTCTGTTTTTCTTAAGCATTTGTTGCTTTGCATGTCACTTTACTACATAATCAGTAAAGTACTCATAAATCTGCCGAGGAACAATCATCGGACTGAATCTTAGTGTGATGGTGTACCTAAGTGTCAAAGCACTTAATGACCAAAGGGGTAAAGCAAATCATTTTTTATTTTGGCTGCCCAGAAATGAGGCATTTTGTTAAAAATAAAATAGTTCTCAAAATAAAAAATGGAAACTTTTATTTTGAAAAAATCTTTCTCAGTAAAATAACATAGTATTTTAGTATTCGTGAACATGTTATAAAGTGTTTATGTAAGATATTACAAATGTTTTATATAGACACCCTTCAAGTAAAATCTTACTGAACTTATAGTACTTAATAATATAGTACGTAATAATTTTTAGAAGTAACTAAATATTACGTTTTAATTTAAATATCTGAATGATAAGCTGCAATGTAGGGGGTTAAAAGGCCAGTTGTTTACTCATAATAAACAGTGATATTGTGTGATTTTAGGTAGTATTGTGGGATATTTCAGGCCATGTGGAGAGACTTCAGGGCACTCGTGCTGGAGTGGGAAGGAAGACCATCTCCTCAAACATAAACACACTGGTGGGTATACCTCCTCCAGATGGTAAGTACACTCAGCATTATACAATTGTATGCATACATATTTTGTGGTTTTTGAATACTTTGATTTTGAGTTTTGAAGTAAACAGAAGTAAACACAACTCACGTGTCAGAATAATATTACATTTTCTTCTGAAAACATTAAGGCACAGTTGCTTTATATTTCTCTAACTTGTTAGGACTGGTTAGGCATTGTCATTAAGAATTGTTAACTGATGAAAACTCTCAAATAACACTGCTCGTATGCTGTGAACAAAGGCAAATCAAGACTTTCGTATGACAGCGAAGGACCTGCAGGAAGGTATAAGTACAGGTGTGAAGGTGCAACTTGCATTGTTGCTTGCACAAACATCTTCTGCATGGAAGAGTCATCAGCAGGAAACCTTACCTGTAACCTCATCACAAAAGGCACCATCTGAAATATGCTAAACAACATCTAGATAAGCCAGAGGCATGTTGGAAACAAGTTCTGTGGACTGATGAAGTAATAATGGAGCTCCTAGGCCACAATCACCAAAGATATGTTTGGAGAAAAAGCATTTGATGAAAAGAACACCGTGCAAACTGTACATAATAGATCCACCCCAGTATTATATTTTGATGTTTGGTGGCAGCCAGTAGCACAGGAAACATTACACAAGTAGATTCCAATAAATATCAGCAAATTCTGGAAGCAAATGTGACACAGTCAGTCAAGAAACTGAAGCTGAAAAAGAGGTTGGCTTCTAGAGCAGAACAATGATCCAAAAACATACCTCAGAATCCACCATCAACTATTTCAAGAAACAAGAGCTGAAGCTTTTGGAAGGGCCCTCACAGTCCACTGACTTCACATCACTGGAAATCTGTGGGTAGATCTTAAACATACTGTGCATGCAAGACGGGCCTATTGCAGAACTAGAAGCGTTCTACAAGAAAAAGAGCATAAAATTCCTAAAATAAGAATAGAAAGACTCCGGGCGGGCTACAAAAAGTGTTCACAAGCTGTGATTTCTGCCAAAAGAGTGTTACCAAGTTTCAACTTTGTAGGTTTTACATGCCACAATTACAATTTTATTTCTTTACGTTTTTACATTAGTTAAAAAATAAAGTAACCGTGCATTAACATTTGCAGATTTAATGTAATTGAGACACTTTTACTTTTATTAAGACATCTTCAAAATGACAAAAGTTGTAACTTCTGATTTATTGTTAAAACACCTTTAGAGGGCAGCAGTGAGTAATGTGTTTTTATTTGAGCTCTTTATGTCTAGTTGTGAGCAAGCAAGTATTGATATCTAGAAAATAAGGTTGCTAATGAGACAATTTGGCCACTCTATGGTTGTACTTTAACCATTGCATTCAGAGAATAAGCAAGGTGATTAAATTCTTAATAACAATTATTTGTATAGCAATTAATTCTCAACTAAACTTGTCATGATGGTGACAGTAGTTAGTAGTGTCTTTCACCCATCTGTGGACTCGTGGGTCCGCATGTGTGTTTGCTTGGCCGCTGTGGCTCCATACTAGCAGGAATTCTCCACTAACAATAGCCTGCTTTTGTTTCTGAGGTTTGGGAGTGTTCAGAGCTGTTCTGAGTACAGTGGCTGTGCTGTTTGTGAGGGCTGAGGGGTTTTTGTGGATATGTGGGGGTGGTGAGGGGGCTGGCTGCTGGGTTTTATTTCATTTTCCCGCCTCCTAATTGAATTAGTGTCAGGGTATGTTTGCGCATTTCAGCAACAACACACACCTGACATCTGCTCCCAGCCACACCCACCATCCCCACCATCCCCACCCCCGTTTACTCAATAGCCCACCGTTTACTCAATAACCTGCACAATGAGCCCCCCCCAACACACATACGCTCCGGTCAAACACAGCTGTTACGCAACCCGACTCTCACACTAACACAGAGCCGCATGGACCCGTCAGACCCCTGCTGTGTGTGTGTGTGTGTGTGTGTGTGTGTGTGTGTGTGTGTGTTTGTGTGTGTGTGTGTGTGTATGTGTCTGTGTGTGTGTGTGTGTGTGTGTGTGTGTGTGTGTGTGTGTTTGTGTGTGTGTGTGTGTGTGTGTATGTGTCTGTGTGTATGTGTCTGTGTGTATGTGTCTGTGTGTGTGTGTGTGTGTGTGTGTGTGTGTGTGTGTGTCATCAGTCATATATTCAGTACATCCTTTTAGACTCACTGCTAACTCCAACAGGTTGGGGTCATTGATGATTGTTGTTACTCTATTATAAAGTTGTCACTGAAAAGTATCTTTGAAATAAAGTCAAGTTCATTTATGAAGCACATTTACTGGTGACTGAAGTGCTGTTCATTAAATTTAAGTAACATTGAGAAAATAAGACTGTAAAAAAGGACACTGAATGAAATTCAGTGAAACAAACATAAGAAACTATAATACATTTAACATAACTTTAAAAATCAATACGGCGCAACACAAAACACAAGAGCTGGCTTAGTGGAATGAAAAAACTAAGAGAGGAATACAATGTTATTAAAATAGGATTGTAAAACATGCTAGTAATATATATATATATATATATATATATATATATATATATATATATATATGTATGTATCATTATCTAGCTAATCTTATAAGTATTTATTATCATTATCTAATAGTTTGCTAATTTATGGAAGTGTTTAGTAGTTACATATGCATAAATAAAAGGTACCACTTAAATTATTAACCATTTACTTAATTATCAATGTATTATCAAGGATTACTTTAAACTGTAGAAAACTGATCATTAATTATAATTTGTCAATAATAATGCAGTTAATTGATACACATAAATGATATAACTTAGAATATTAAGCATGACCTTTTTACTTAATGATTAGTTAAGGGTTATTAAGTGGTTATGTATGTATATTTATATATATATATATATAAATATACATATATATATATATATATATATGTGTGTGTATATATATATATATAAATATATATATATATATGTATACACATAATAACATTCACAACATATATAATTACATTAATAATCTGTAACTGGACTCTACTTTAAAATTGCGACTGAGCTTTACAACATATTTATAAACCACTACAATATTATTTATGCCCTTAAATATAATACGTTTATGAAAGGAATTTGCTGTGCTCTAAATTATTTGTATGTTACTAAGTAAATGGTTAATAATTCATATGGTACAATTTCCTAATTCATAAGTAAGAGTTTTATAATCATTAACAGTCTATTCAGTAATGATTAAGCTGCCATTTGTAGGGCTCTGTTATTGTAAAGTGTTCCCTGGAAATCAAAGGCAGTGAGTCTGTGTCAGAACAAATGGCTGATTGTGAATGTGTTGTTTTCTGTTGGCAGTCATTTGAAGGTAAGCAGGAGAAGGACACTCCTGTAGTGCGTTACTGTGCTGTGTCAGGCATTGACAGTGGACACAGAGCTCCCATCACTGACATCCAGTGGCTGCCAGACAGCTTTGAGGTATGTTGGTGTATTTCAGATGTGTGTCTGAAACTTCTGGAGGGCCGGAGCAGCCGTTATTCCGTACGGCCGTCTCACAGCTGGCTTTTCTTCATCTTGGGTCTTATTATGACTCTTTAAATTCAGTAACTGATTTTGATGTTGTTAGATCTCGTAGATCTACTCACACTGGCCACTTTATCAGAAACCCCTCTCCTGTAGCTCCACCTTGCTGGGGTACAGTTAGAGACTGTAGAACATTTGTTAATGCAAGTTTGTGTCATTCATGCTCTAGACCCTCATCAGTGGTCAGCTCATGACCACAAAGACACTTTTGGTTGGATATTTTTGGGTGTCAGTCCACTCTGAACCTAGGAGTGACACTGATGTGCGTAAAATCCCCGCTATGTCTGATACACTCATACCAGTATCAGACACACTATGTCAGTGTCACTGATGTGATATGAATGATCCACCACACAAATAGTATCTGGACAACAGCCATTCTGTGGTCTGAAACTGACCATTAATGAATGGAGTAGAGGGGGGCTGATAAACTGTGCAGCAGTAGATGAACACTGTACAACTGGAGCTCAAAAAGTGGCCGGTAAGCAAAAGTTATTACAGTGGTTTCGCTATACTACATTACTATATTTTAATAAACAGATATTTACATATTTATGTAGTGAACTGCCATTACAGTATAGTTGATTTACATTCTGTTTCAGAAGGTTCTTGTCTGCACTTCCATCTTTTTTCTGTTTATTTCAATGTCAAACACTGACAAAAATGTTTTGTGACTTCTAGGAGTTAAATAAATGAGTAGGACGTCTGGTCAATTCTCATGTGATTTAGCTGAGGAATGTGAGGAATCTTGTTTTTCAACACACCGTAACACAGACCTGATAAGTGCTTACTCTCTCTCAGCATGTTGATGAAAGTCTTTAGTCTGGCTGAATTGAGGCGTGCAAAAACATCAGTCATGAAAAGTAGAGTCCCTCTACTTCATGCTGAGTGAGGCATTAGAAAGAGACCAGCTCATTCTTTTCACACACACACACACACGCACACGCACACATACACACACACACACACACACACACACACACACACACACGCACACACGCACTCACATACACAGAGTGCCCCTGCAGTTCAGTTAAAGGAATGTTTGTCAATAATACTAAAGTTTGTAAAAACTAATGAAATCTAATTGTCATCAAAATGACATAATGCTAATGAACGTCTGATATTTTTCTGTGGCCTCCGTTGCCATTTTCAAAACCGCCCGACAAAATTATGTCCGAACTTGACCTGAGCCTGACAAAATTCTGTCCGAACTTGACCCGAGCCTGACAAAATTTTGTCCAAACTCGACCCGAGCCTGACAAAATTCTATCCAAACGTGACCTGAGCCTGACAAAATTCTGTCCAAACTTGACCTGAGCCTGACAAAATTCTGTCCAAACTTTACCTGAGCCTGACAAAATTCTATCCAAACGTGACCTGAGCCTGACAAAATTCTGTCCGAACTTGACCTGAGCCTGACAAAATTCTATCCAAACGTGACCTGAGCCTGACAAAATTTTGTCCAAACTCGACCCAAAAACATGAAAAGAATCTATCCGAATTTGACCTGAGCCTGACAAAATTCTGTGAAATCCATAACAACCTGTCAAAATTCTGTCCAAACCTGACCCGAGCCTGACAAAATTCTTTGAAGTCTGCCCCAAGCCCAACAAAATTCTATCTGAACCTGACCCAAGCCCAACAAAGTCTATCCAGACATGCCCCAAGCCCAAATTGAGCCTGACAAAAATCTGTCAGTACCTGACCCAAGCCTTGCAAAATTCTGTCCAAAGCTGACCCGACCCAAACCACATCAATTAGTTTTGAGTCCCAACCTGGTTCATCATCCCTCAAAATGATGAGTCTAATCTGAAAGGAATCACAAAATTGATAAAATGTGAAACAGCAGAAAATAATATGCTGTCTGAAAATAATGTGCATGAAAATCAGCTGTCCAAATTCAGTTTAGTTCCCCCTTTAACTAATTTATTCATCAAGCGATGATTTGAACAACATCTCAGATGTTTTAGTTACCATAATGTGCTGTTCTCACTCTGTAGCCTCCATCTGTTTAATCCTAAAATGTTTTCTGCACATGGAATGTTACATATAACATGTTGAACATACAACACAAAATATTTTAGCAAAAAAAAATTAAAGGTCTTTCTGACTTCACTAAACTGTCTTCTGCTGAATCAACCTTTATTTCCCGTTTTTCTCTCGAGCGCTGGCCGAGTGGACCTCATTGTTAAATTCTGTCCACAACACGAGTGAGTAACTCCAGCGTGCCGGATTAAATCTGTTTTAAGGAAATGAAAGTAGAGAGGAAGAATAAACAAAGAGCTGAACTGAAGCCTGTTAAAAGTGCCTCTGTTAAACTGTGAGAACATAAATGGGAATTTGAACCTGACACATATTTAGGTTTGAACACATATTTCAAGCTCTAAAAAACAGCTCGTCCTTTTCTGTTCCTTTCAGCTTCCAACAAACTGCGAGTCTTTATCAGATCTAAAGTCAACAGCTCCTTTATACTCAGCAGTGAAGCGAACATGCACTGTGACGCTTTCAGGCTTTCACACCTAATTTCCACACACTGACTCTGAGCCACTCACGCTAAAAGAGTCCAGCTAATCATTGCTTTTAGAGAAGGTGAACTGGCGCGAACCTCAGATTTAATCAGAGCTGGAAACTGACAGCTCCGCTTTACATTAAATTAAAGTGATTCAGCTAAAAGCATAGACCCTTTCAGAGAAAGGTCAAAGGTCAAAGATCGACTGTGTAATAGGTTCTTAGGATATTGCAGTGGGGAGGGGTCCAGTCCAGGCGTCTAAAGAAAGCACTCCAGCAGATAACAGGCTGTTGTTACGACTAAGACCCTCAACTGACTCTATTATTGATTATTTGCTATTGGTTGACATTTATTGGGTTAACCAGAGTGAGGCTGAAGGGAAACGCTCCCAAGGGGAAGAACATGTAAAGGATCTGACCTCGGAGTCAGTAATATGGTCAGGGTGATCCTCAAACCACATACTGCAGGAAAAACATCAGGAAAGTCAGACAACAGGGTGTGCTAACAGTACAGTATGTAATAGGCTATAAATGAAACCACACCATAATACATTGATATTATACACTGCCTGGCCAAAAAAGGTCACCTGGATTCTAAGGAGATTGCTGAAACTACTAAAATCAGGTTAAGAACTGTCCAACGCATTATTAAGAAGTGGAAGGACAGTGGGGAAACATCATCTTCGAGGAAGGAATGTGGTCGAAAAAAATCTTAAATGATCGTGATCGGCGATCACTTAAACGTTTGGTCATCAGGGTAAGAAGAGAGGCGGCTGAAGTAATGTACCCATCATGCCTAGTGCCTACCGTACAAGCCTGTGGGGGCAGTGCTATGATCTGGGGTTGCTGCAGTTGGTCAAGTCTAGGTTCAGCAATGTTATGTGCCCAAAGAATAAGGTCAGCTGACTACCTGAATATACTGAACGACCAGGTTATTCCATGAATGGATTTTTTCTTCCCTGATGGCACGGGCATATTCCAAGATGACAATGCCAGGATTCATCAGGCTCAAACTGTGAAAGAGTGGTTCAGGGAGCATGAGACATCATTTTCACACATGGATTGGCCACCACAGAGTCCAGACCTGAACCCCATTAAAAATCTTTGGGATGTCCTGGAGAAGACTTTGCGCAGTGGTCCAAATCTCCCATCATCAATCCAAGATCTTGGGGAAGAATTAATGCAACTCTGGACAGAAATAAATGTTGTGACATTGCAGAAGCTTGTGGAAACGATGCCACAGCGAATTCGTGCTGTAATCAAAGCTAAAGGCGGTCCAACGAAATATTAGAGTGTGTGACCTTTTTTTTGGTCAGGCAGTGTATATTGACCATGTCTCTCTCTCTCTCTCTCTCTCTCTCTCTCTTTAGGTCTCCAGAACTGGGATACCTTTGGAGAATAAGAGTCAGATATCAGTTCAGATTGTGACCTGTGCTCCTGACAGGTAAAATTACATCCACACATGTTGTACAATTTCAGTGGTTTATATAAGAGACAGGGACTTGAACCAGCGACTCCGACTTAAGTCAACCTTGAGTCACATGTTGACTGGCTCGGGACTGCAGACAAAAACACTAACAAAATTAGGAATGCCAGTATTATTATGGTAAATGAATAAAACCTTTCGGTTCCACTTTCACATGTGTGATGTTGCTAAAGTCATTACAAAGTCCTTATTCTTAGTCAAGTCTGTTCACTTAGCGGCTGTCTTTGCAACGCCACCGGGCAGTTATTTCAGTAAGGCAGTAAGTTTATTTCTCCCGAAGCCCTGAGGATATCAGTTTGAATTATCAATTCGTTTTGTACATTTTATACATGCGCGGAATGGTTTTTGAACGAAGCACAATACAGGGCAGCCGATCAGATCAGAACAGAGCTCATGAGCATATATCAGTTTAAAAGGACAGAAACAGCCTTTTAAAATCTGAGAGATAACAAGGTTGAAAAGTGGCCACACAAAAATGAATCACAGCTGTTTGGTAAATAAAACCACACAAACATTATGAGTTGACCTCAGGGGAAAGAACAAGACTAGAGGAAAATATGAATATGACCCTATTTAATATGAGACACTGCTTTATTGATTCAGTCTGTTTCATAACTCTGTTATTTACTATATATATATGATCAACTCATAAACTTTATCACCTTTATGTGTGTGTATGTGTGTGTGTGTGTGTGTGCGTGTGTGTGTGTGCGTGTGTGTGTCAGCTGTTTGATGTTCTGGGACCTGCGTACTCCCCGGGTTGTAGCTCAATCTCTGACAGACAGGAAGCAGAAGACTGAAGAGAAAGTTCTAGAAAATCCACATGGAGTTCCCAACACCTTCAAACATCTCGACCTGACGTGGAAACCTCTCATAAGGGTACACACACACACACCCACACAAACACACACACACACACACTGCAGACACTTTCCTTAATGCTGTATTGAGTGGTGGATTAATAAGTGGGTTGTTAAGAAGTACAAAAGGTACTAAACAGTCACTGGGGTGGTACCATCAAGGGTACCTGTTCAGTATCTTTAGTCAGGGAACATAATTGCACCATATTCCATTTTTAGACTGTACTGACTCATTATAAAAGGTTATAAAAGGTATTATAAAGCTATTATTGACCTTTCTCCGGTATTTAAGGTACACAGTTGGACCTTAAAACCACTGTTGTACTTTTGAGGGTACGTTTACAATGTTTGTATCTGATCAGTGAAGTCTTTTTTGACAGTGTGCTACATGTGTCCGTGTCAGGGCTGTCACTACATTGGTACAGGGATCCCACAGATAGTTAAAAAATCCTATACAGTTTTAAAGTTGATTTATAAAATGCCAGAAAATGTCTCATTTTTGTTTATTAGAGCTATTACATTTAAGGATCCCGGAATATTTTAATGGATAAGGATCCCGATCCAGTTCCGATGCTTTGTTTTGTTCTTGCACTCTGTTTTTACCTCACTGTCATGAAGATTCCATAAAGTGACATTATCTACAACCTGCGGCAGTGAGGCCCGTTTACAGAAAGGCAGTGCAGTGCTACACGACTGCAGTGTTGAATTCATTTAAAGGTTTTCTACTGTGATATAACTAAGGTGCCTTTCGTCTCAGCAGACGTAAAATACACCAAGTTTTTTCTGCTGTCTCTCTCTCTCTCTCTCTCTCTCTCTCTCTCTCTCTCTCTCTTCTGATTTTTTGTCCTAATGTGACTCAGATCTGATGTTTTCAAGGCTGTGTGGACACGCAAATCTGATCTTTTTAAATCCAACCTGAGCCACTTTCATATGTGGTCTTCGGATTGGATACATATCCAATTTGTGGCCATGTGACCTTAATGTGACACTCAGATCAGAATTCATGTGCTTTTTTCCACTGAATGTGCGCCATCGTTCAGCGTTACCATGGCAGCAGCGCCGAACAGAAGTTAAAGCGGTGGAAAAGCAACACATCTCACCTTTTTCTCCTTCGTCTCGCTCTAATAATGAAGCTGAGAGCTGATCAGAGTTAATTATCTTCTCAGCGAAGCTCGTTCTGCTCGTTAGTTTGTGTTGATGATGAACGTGATTCATTCATGTGACGTTACTGAGTAGGATGTGCACATGCGGGTCATTTCAGGACGCCGGTTCGTCACATTAATGACAGATTTGAATCACTTACCTAAACGAGTGTGAACCATCGTGTCAGACAGATCGGATTTGAGCAAAAAAATCGGATTTGAACAACGAGGCTGGTAATGTGAACATAGCTTCTGTCTCTCTGTTTCTCTCTCTCTCTCTGTGTAGGTGACTCTGCCTAAAGTAGACACCAGCGGTGAATACAGCCCTCTGAAGTTCAGTCTGAGAGAGAGCACAACTAACAGTACTGCAGGTGAACACAGACACACACACAGCTTTTCAGAATGTTTTCAGTATAAATGATCTTGTTTTCTCTGTCAGTTTGCAAAAGCTGAACATTTTAAAGCCCGGTTTTGTTTATTTAAACAATATCACATGTAAATATCTGTGACAGTATTAGTGACAGTGCTAGTTTGGGACTAAATCCAAAGCCTGATCATTTAAGCCTCTTGTTGTGATGTCAGAACTCATCAACACTCAAACCTTTCAGCTGTTTAGACCACGTTTGGACCAAAACAGTCCTAATATGAGCTTTTGACAGTAGCTTGGAGCAGAAAACATCATAAATCATTATTTAAAACCTGCTCTTCATAGCAGAGACACTCTGATGAACATGAAGCTGAGAGAAGGATGAACACAAGTGAAGAGCTGCTTTCTCTTAAATACCTCTATTTTTCCTAACTTCACTGGACAGTAACAGTGAGAATATTTCGATTTTTAAAAGAGGGCAAGGCGTCGCCATGCTTTGAACAGGTCACGCACACGTGACCCCAGCCTGGCCTCTCAGTGCAGCGGGCCTGAACGTGGCCTGTATTATAGAGCCTCTGTGAGGAGAAGCTGCGCTTTGTCTTTCAGATCACCTCCTTCTTTATGAAGTAAAGCAGAGAGAGGCTCCATTATTACTCAGCTCATTTCAGAGGCTCACTGGAGCTTAACTTCATACATACCTCACAGCCTCACAGCCCATACAGGCTGCCTATCCGTACTGTCCCACACTGTCCTTAACCCCTGTGAAGTCTGCCAGTGTGGCATCTGAGCACTCAGACAGGTGTTCTAGCTAACAGAGGTACTCAGGTGTTCTAAGTAAATGAAGCTCTTGGGTGTTCCTGGTATAGGAAATAGTCAGAAGCACTTATGTGTTCCAGTTCTCAGGTGTTAACTAACACTGGTAATCAGAAAGATGTTCTAGCTAATAAACCCTTCTAGCAAATGGAGGTATTCTAGCTAAAGTGAGCAATCAGAAAGGTGTTCTACCTACCAGAACACTCAAAAAGGTGTTCCACATACCAGAGCATACAGAGAGAGATACCACATACCACATACCAGAGCGCTCAGAGATATGTTCTCACTACCAGGGTGCTCAAAGAAGTGTTCTAGCTATCACGGTACTCAGAGAGGTAATCTTGGTAATGCAAGCACTCGGGGGGTGTTCTAGGTAATTCAAGCAATCAGAGAGGTATTGTAGTTAATGGAGGTGCTCAGAGAGGTATTGTAACTAAATGAAGTAACCAGAGGTGTCCTAGCTAAAAGAGGCCCAAAGAGAGGTGCTCTAGCTAACTGAAAGGTTCAGACAGGACTGCACTGCACACACTGAACACTATGTACATGTACTTTTACAGCTAAAAACCAGAGTGTAACACAGCACAGTGCTTTAAAAACACAGTGTCCTTTACACACTTATGCACATACAGTACACTAACACACATTCATACACACCCAAAGTAAGCAGTGCCCACCCAAATCCCTCAAATCAACATAAACCCCACCCTGTCCTCACACACAGGGGGCTTTGTAAGACCCCACACCCCTTCTTCACTTCACCCAGCCGGCTTCCACCTCTGTACTTATGTGAAAATACACGAACAGTGTCAGTAAAAGGGTCAAATGCAGTTAAAGTGCTGTGCACAAAAAAACAGCTCAAAACAACATAAGTACGGCAGAGGCAACCATAATTGGTCAGAAAGTTTCCAAAATTGTCAGAAAAATTGCATTTGTTGTGTAAGATATATATTTTTTATACACATGCTCTAAACAATTGATTGTCATTCAAATAAATCACACAGAATAAACACAATACACAAAATTTGTGTTTGGCACGTAAAGGTCTTTACTCTGGCACACTAAACAGGAAGAGCTGCCTTTACACTCTTTGTTGATAACAGTCCCAGTTACATTGAGCTGTTTTTAATTCTTTCCACATTCTTAATCTAACACACCAGGGGTGTCAGGGTTCCTGACTAAGTTTCAGCATCACAGAACCTAACAAATGCAGCCGTGGTTCACTCCAGGTCAACTCGTTTTACAAGTGAACTACTTTAACAACTTTCTCTGTTAACTCAGGTTTAGGTACTCAAGCTTTGATTAACCTTTATGTGTGTGCACATGAAGGTGTGGCGTTTATGGTGAACAGACAATCTTGTGAAACACTCAGCAGTAATATATACAGGGTGATTCAAAAAGATTCATCATCAATTCAGGATTAGATCAAACTAAGCTTGAAGTTAGCTGGCTAAGTCAAAGGTCCTTCATGAAAGAGGACTGCGATTGAGGATGATGAAGCCTTCAGGAGTGTCTGTATGGAGGAATCTGGTGCACCCAAACACATTAACAGTTAGTTACTGTGCAAAAACATATTTCAATATGTTCAATAAACATATTTCTGTCTGTTTACCTCTTGAGAAGATGTCATATTTGTATCATAAACTTAGTGTTGGCCTGTTTTTTGTGCTAAATGAACTTGAACTTCTTTTGTGCTCTCGCAATCTGTCTCTCTGTCTTAGATAAGTTCCTGTCTGGAGCAGAAAGGGCAGAGGTCCCTGAGTATTCTCAGCTCCGTGTGCCCTCCGCCAAACACCAACGGCAGCTGGAGAACATCAGCACTAAGTTCTACGTGGGCACTGAGGTGAATGACCCACTAGAGAGAGAGAAAGAGAGAAAGAGACACACACATTTAATGAAACTGCAAAGCAAAATTTTAGTTTAGTTTAGTTTAGAACAAAGTATTTTACATCAGTTCATACCCATCAGCCCCCTCTACCCTGTTCATCATTGGTCAGTTTCTGACTGCAGGACTGCTGTGTCCAGATATCATTTGGCTGTTGGTCCATTCTCAGCACAGCAGTGACAGTGACGTGGTAGTGTGTGTTGGGCTGGTGTGAGTGTTTCAGACACAGCGGTGTTGCTGGGTTTTGTTTATGTTCATTTTTTCCTCTCAGGATGGAGAACTTGTGTACACAGACTGGAGGCTGGAGAAGGACAACGACTCAGGACGGCTCTTCAGTAAGAGAACACACATCCACACCTAAGTCCACCACAAAACATACGATAATGGCGATCTAGTGAGTTTATTGCATATCACACAACGGATCAATTGTGCGAGAGCTGTGAAAAAGAAGCATACTTAACTCTTTGGTGCACAACATGGATCAAAAGTGTCCAAACTGACTTTTTATTTTCTATATTTTTGAATAAATTCATTTCATCGTTCAGAATTCCATAGATAACTCAATGAAGTTTTGATAATCACAAATCCTTATTTTAATATTTTTTTCTTACCTCTTGAATAAAAATCATTTTTTAAATCATGCCCTTCTAATGCACAGTATGGGTCAAAAATGACCTGCATTAATTTCCTATGTTATTTTCATGCATAGCTGAGTGTTTCTTTGCTATATCTGTGAAATAAATTTATTTTATAATTGAATATTCCAGGTATTCATTAAATGTTTTGTTTTTGATGATCACAAATCACTGTTTTCATTGTTCTTTTACTTTAAGAACAAAAATATGTTTTGTATTACTACATCAAGTTTACACACTTGGGTCAAAAATGACCCATGTGTGCAAGTGTGGTAAAAAAAAAGGCATATTATAATAAGAATTTTGTTAAAATAATGACTTTAGCCAAACAATAATATATTTATTATTTAAAATATGTCACTTTGTCACATATAACTTACACATATCTCACATTTGTGGAAATCAAAAACAAGATATTTAATGATGAAATGCATTGATTTCAAAAGATATAGCAAAGAAACTCTCAGTCATGCATGAAATACTTACTTCACTTGAGTTAATGTGGTAATGGAGCAGCCTTTGGTGTTGGCCAAACAGGTTTTAAAAGGGGTGGATAATAAAAGAGTTCTGTTACTGGTTGACTCGCATATCAAAGCTGAGCTCCATTGAAATGAATGTAATTTTGTGCATGACATTGTTCTCTCAAACCACTAGTGTGATTAAGCCTTTATAGATCATTGATTTTAACTAAAGACCAAGGATCTCTTTGTGATGAGCGATACTGGTCTGTGATCGCATATCGTAACAAAACAACTCACACATGCACACTTTAGACCGCTGGACTGACAGAAGACTTGACTGCAAACCATGAAGTCCATTAGCTGTGATGGATCATCATGGACAGCAGCATTGTTTAAACGAGCCACTCAAAGTCCATCAGAGTCTCGATCAGTTCTGGCCTGAGTTCGGTGGTGTTGTGTTCAGAGTCAGCTGGTGAAGAATAAAACAGAGCTCACATTGTCTGATGCGCAGTGCAGTCAGGCTCTATGACGTCGCAACGACTGTGGTTTCTCAGAGCCATTAGAGAGCTTTAAGACCTGAATTAGATAATGGTAATAAAAGGAGGAAGAATAAGCTGACAGCTTTTGGCAGAAACCATGGCTGATTTGACTGGAAGCTCTGCCCCCGAGCGCTGCTACCAGAGCAATTTAGAGTAATTACACAAACGAGGCGCTCACGCAGTGCCCACACACACTCACACACACACACACACACTCCCACACACACTCACACACTCCCACACACACACTCTCACACACTCTGGCTCCATCACGGAGCTCCTGGCAGAGCGCTCCAGCTTCTGATTACTCAGTAGATTACTCTTAATCACAGAACAGTCTGACTGACTTTTACTCTGGAGTTCATCATGTTTCCATCCCGCACTCTGTGTTAGTCATAATGTTTTATGAAGGCAGTTTAGTGTTATAGAGAATGAAGTAAACGGCTGAAATCAGCTCGAGTCCGGCGCTCATTACAGTCCTGATGTACTCTGGAGTTCAGAGTCATTAGTACTATAACTGAGACATGCTAATATGCTGCATTATTGGCTTTTAGACAAGCCAATTCGCTCAGACGCTGCTGTGATTGACTTTATAGTCCATTAACGTCTGCAGATATTCATTATTGATGTGTGCATTGTCTCTCTCTCTCTCTGTCTGTCTCTCTCTCTGTCTCTCTTTCGCTCTCTCTCTCATTTTCCCTCTCTCTACCCATTTTTCTCTTTCTCCTTTCTCTCTTCTTTGTCCTTCCTCTCTTTTGCTCACTCTTCTTTTTTTATTGTCTTTCTTTTCTGTCTCTCTTTCTATTCTTTCTCTCACTCTCACTTTCTTTGTTTCTTACTTTCTTTCTTTCTTTTTCTTCTCCCACTCTCTCTCTAACCGCTGTCTCTCTCTCTGTTATTCTTTGTCTTTCTCCTCTCTCACTCTTCTTTTTCTCTTTTCTTTTTCTCTCCTTCCCTCTTTTCTCTCTTTTTCTCTCTTTTTTGTCCTTCCCTCTTTTTCTCCTTTCTCTGTCTTCTTTTCGTTTTCTATCTCTCTCTCGTTCACAACCTTTCTTCCTCTTTCTGTCTCCTCCTCTCTTTCTTTTGTCCTTTTTTCTCTATTGTGCTTTTCCTCTTTCTATTTTTTAATCTCTGTCTGTCCTCTGTTCTCTGTTCTCCTTTGTCTCATTTCTTGCTCTCTCTCTCTCTCTCTCCCTCTCTCTGTCTCTCTCTCTCTCTGCCTCTCTGTATGTATTGTATTGTGTATGTATTGTTATGAGGGTAATACCCATTTTTTGCAATGTTTAGTTTTCTGCATAATTTGATCTCAGCAGCTGATCTTTTACATCATGTGAACACTTCATTGAGACTCGATCAACATAAATGCTTCAGAACTGGTTGGGATAAAATCTCTTTACATTAACTTGCATTGAAAGTAAATAACGTTTTTGCCCTCTCCTGTGAAGCTACCACTTTGGTGATGTTTTTCCTTCGACAGTGACCGTGTGCTTTCAAAGCTGTAGAGTTCATGTTGATTCTTTTGCATACAGTAATATTATCACTGATATGCAAACAAGTAAATAAAATAAGTTAACACGAAAATAAGTCATTAAAAGAGCTTGAACTGTAAAGTGTAGTCATACATCTCTCTCTCTCTGTCTCTGTCTCTCTCTGTCTCTCTGTCTCTCTCTCTCTCAGGTCCGAAGCCCACTCACCGTTTCAGAGTTCATGACAGTCTGGTGAACACCGTGCTCCGCTCTCCGTTCTTCAAGGACGTCATCTTGACTGTCGGCGGGTGGAACTTCGCCATCTGGAAAGAGGGTGTGACGGTGAGGAGCCCATTCAGTCACTCCATACATCATATTACACTCATTTATTTATTTATCCAAATCCACATACAGTACAGGGACAGTATACAGTGTAATCAAACACATTGAAATGTTAGCACTACTGCTAGCTGAACTGCAGTAACATAAACCTGTAATCGGTCTGTTGGAGGTTTTTTAATAGAGTTTATACAGAGGTCTTACTTTTCTACTGTGATTAAGAATAGCTGTAAATCCTTAAAGTTGAGAGTTTAAAATTGGAATAATTTTGCTGTACAATTCAAATGACAGTATTTATCACATAGTGATTCTGCACTTCTGACCTTTTTCTCTTTGTTTCAATGTCAAAAAAGTCAAAAACATGGTGAAATTGTAAAGGATGTTCTTCTTTCTGCGAGACAGGACTGCACACAGCAGTGCAGCATGGCTGGAAGTTTAGAATCTGCTTGTTTCAAAGAGCTGCAACTAAGAAAAGATATAAAATTACATCATGCTTTTGTTATTGCTGGTAATAAGTGTGGATTAAAACATCAATAAGACTCTCGACTTTCTGAGAACCAAAGATTTTTCCAGGAATCATATAATAAGATGTATAATCCTCCATGTATAGTTGTGATCTACTCAGTCTGCTGCCTCTCTCCAGAACGGGCCGATCCTGCTGTCCCCCTGCTCACCGAGGAAGTGCACGGTGGGCTTCTGGTCACTGACCCGGCCTGCCGTCTTCTTCATCGGTAAAGAGGACGGGAATCTGGAGGTCTGGGACCTGCTGGAGAAAACACACGAACCCTCGCAGACCCAGAACATCACCACCGCGCACATCACCTGCATCAAACCCTGGGTCATCTCATGTTAGTCTCAAACACGCTAATGCTAATGCTAGTATTTATACTGATGAGAACAGTACAAACACGCCAGTCTGTGCTGAAAACCTTCTTAAACTAGTAACTAAGCAAACATTAACTGTGGCTCATGTGAACATTGTTGTTGGTCTGTTTTGGACACACCTTCTCATGAAGTGTTTTCATTATTTCCACTGTTTGCCACATTTTAGAGTAAAACCAAAGACATCAGAATCATAAAATCATAATGCAGCAAGCAAAAAAGTCAAATACTTTACATTCAAGTCTTCGATGCAGATTTACACTCTCTTGGTGGTCTCTTCAGCAGCTTCATGGGGAACCACCTGAGAGGCTTTTCCAACAAGACTGAAGAAGATACACATGTACTGAGACCTTGTTGGCTACTTAACCCCTTAAGACAGGGGTCACAAATGTTAAGAAGAGCCATTTTGACCTTTTAATAAAAATCAATCCACCTTGGGAGCCACAACATTTTTTGTCCATTTTACCATCTTGGCTGTAAATATGTGTTAGTACAGGCTAAAATTATAATAACAAAACAAAAACACAGACTCACTTTGCTCTGCTTTAAGCTTTAGCTCAGCTCAGCTTTTCTCGCATCTCCGGCAGGAAACTTTCTAGCAAAAGTAGAACAGTTTCTTGTAAAATGTCTCTCAGCGTTCGACTTTTTACGAGGCTGAAGTCAGTTTCTCATTGCCATTCTTGTTCAAATGTTCCCATTCCACCTTAAATGGTGCCTGAGGCGCTAGAATGTAACTGCTGCACTATTTAAGGTGGAACAGGAAAATTCGCAGAAGAAGCTGGCGAATGAGAAGAGACTTCAGCTTTGCGATTTTTCAGTGTTTGACAGTTTCTCGTTGCAGATTAAACGTATCAGGAAACCAGCTGGAGTGAATATAAATGCAAATGAGTCCATTCGTCTTCAAATTATCCATGTTTGTGTTAAACCTTTCTCTTTGCCTTTTCATTTCACTACTAGCTAGGGGAGATTGTTGTCTGTGTTACTCTGGTGACCAGCAGTCTGCGTGCCAGTCTTCAGGGTTGAAGGGTGAATTAGCAGTTTTACATTAACTCCATTGTTTAAGACCATTTATTGTTTAAACTGTGTTGAACGATCAGCAGAGCTTTATTTTACTGTGAAGGAGAATGATTTTATTTTTACCTAGAAATCTAATTCTGCTGTGGAGCCACAACAGGGCAGTAAAAGAGGCCTTAAGAGGTCAAAGTTGTATTATACACTTATATAACCCAAGAATAGCTTAACCAGTTTTTATTGGATTCCCTGTAGTTACTGAATAGTAAGCCTTAGTATGTAATAAACCTGAGATTTTAAGGGGTTAAAGCTACTTGTTGGAAGGGCTTTTAAAAATAATACCTCACATTTCGGAAATAATTTCGTGCACAGTCATCAGCTGTACTGCTGGCATTTGTCTTAGAAGTAAAAGGGATTTAACATAAGACACCCTGTGGTGTGTATTAATGGAAAATCTGCATTGTGCATTATCAGTGCTGTAGAAAGATGTTCTGAGTAGTACAGTAATTCCAATGTGATCTCTTCTGAGCAGCGAAGCAGCAGCTATTGGCTGTGTCGGACCACCTGGGCACTCTGCATATCCTGGAGGTCCCGTGGACCCTGCGCCACCCGTCTGCCAATGAGGTGAGAAAGAAAGCCATAGCAGATGCAGAATGATTTGTGTGTCTAAAGTACAGCAAGCGTTTTACTGTATTCTCCCTGATCCCATTTGACTCAGTTAAATAGTGTGTTGCATAGCTAAAAACAGTAGCAGCAGATCTTGAACACATAGTGATTATGCATGATGCTAATTTGTGGAGTATAAGCTTCTATTGCTTGTTAGTTAGATTAGCCTCATAGCTCCACTGCAGAAGAAGCAGACTTCAGACTCCAGACAGGTCTCGGCTGATAGGCTATGTGTGTGTCCTGTCCTGCAGAAGTGCAGCGTGAGCAGCTACTTTGAGAAGGAGGTGGAGCGTCTGGAGTACTTTGAGAAAAGACAGGAGATGCGAGCGAGAGAGAGGAGAGAGATGGAGGCCGAGCAGCAGAGGAGGAAAATGGTGGGAGACTCATTTGTATTGGGGAGCAGAGTAGAGGGGTAACATTTAGACCGATGCTTACACAGCAAAATGATACGCTAGCAAGTGAAATATGTCTAAATATATTTATATATTCAGCAATATATCAAATATTTCTCATTATGAAATTATTGGAAGAACAATCTATGAAATGAAAATGAAATGAAAATGAGAATAAGCATTATGAGTTATTCAATAACTACTGTAAATTATTTAATAACTACTATAAATTATTCAATAACTACTATAAATTATTTAGTAAATAAAATTAATTATTCAGTAACTACTAAAATTATTCAGTAACTCATGAATTATTCAATAACTACTACAAATTATTCAGTAACTCGTATGAATTATTCAATAACTACTTCAAATTATTCAATAACTCATATCAATTATTCAATAATTACTATAAATTATTCAGTAATCAATATGAATTTTTCAGTGACTACTATACATTATTCAATAACTACTATAAATTTTTCAGTAACTACTGAAATTTTTCAGTAACTCATATATATTATTCAATAACTACTAAATTCAGTAATTAATATAAATTCTTCAGTAACTACTTAATTACTGTAAGTATTATAAGTCCTATAAATTACTCAGTAATTAATATGAATTATTTAGTAAATACTATGAATTATTCTGTAATTAATATAACTTAATTAGTAAATTCTTATAAACGATTCAGTAATTTATATGAATTCTATGAATTATTAGTAACTACTACAAATTATTCAATTATTGCTATGGATTATTTAATAAGTCTTATAAATTATTCAGTAATTAATACGAATTATTTAGTGACTGCTATGAATTATTTAGTATCTTCTGTACATTAATCTGTAACTATTATACATTTTTCAGAAAGTAGTATGAATTATTCAATAGCTGTTATAAGTGATTCAGTAGATGGTTAAAATTATTCAGTATCTATTATAAATTCTTCATTAACTACTGTGAATTATTTAAAACTGCTCTACATTATTCAGTACAGTTAGTTTATTCAAGCTGTTTGTACTTCAGTTTGTACTTCAGCTGTTTGTAGTTCAGTTTGTACTTCAGCTGTTTGTAGTTCAGTTTTTACTTCAGCTGTTTGTAGTTCAGTGGTTTAGTTTAGTGGTTTTATCTTTACTGCACTGGAGAGTAATTTTTCTTTTTTAAGAAGTAACTGATGGAGGTCATGTTAGTGGGGTTAAAGCATGTGGTCATTATGAGACTGAGTTTGTTCTCTGGCTGTGTGTCGAGGGAGGTGTGTTTATCCTGCTCTCTATCACTGCCTCCTTTATCTCCCAGCATCACCCTGTGCTTTTACCCTCCTTCTCTCAAACACAGCTGCGCTACACTCTCAGCTCTGCTGTGGCTGGATTAACGCTGAGGGGGATCAAATGTGCCAAAGCTTTTTTGTCTTCTGAGTAATTTTACTTTAAAGGCTCTCTGGACTGTTTTTATTTCATCACAGCTACAACATCACAGACTCACATTGCATTGTTTCATTTAAGGGAGAGGAAAAAAACACTTTATAGGGTTTTTTAATATGGCAGCAAAAATACACATGTTGTAAACACACACTACAAAATACACACACATACACAAAATACACGCACACACACACACACACACACACAATACACACACACAGACATACACACACACACACAGATATACACACACATACACTCAGAAAACTCAAATTAAGCACCAACCACATACTTTAGGGGATTTCAAAGGAATTTCAAAACAAATACAAGATTACTTTGTTGCCACTTAGGCCACTGTGTGTGTGTGTGTGTGTGTGTGTGTGTGTGTGTGTGTGTGTGTGTGTGTGTGTGTGTGTGTTCGTCTTTTGATGAAAAGTGAAAACCACAAACTTTGGCCTTGTAATACTACTACTACTACTAAAAATAATAATAATAATAATGATGATGATGATGATGATGATGATCATAATAATAATAAAAAAAATAAACAAATAAAATAATAATAATAGTATTGACCTAAGATGTGTAGTGTAGTCTGATGACACCTATGAATGTTGTTGGCTTTATGGGGCTTTTTGAGGTCAAATGTAAAAAAAGTGTTTAAGGCTATAAAATTGTATATTGAAATCTTGTTTATTTGTTTAACTTACATTAATTATTCAGTATCTACTACAAATTACTCAGTATCTACTACAAATTATTCAGTATCTACTATAAATTATTCAGAATCTACTATAAATTATTAATTATCTTTTATATATTATTCAGTATCTACTATAAATTATTCAGTATCTACTATAATTTATTCAGTATCTACTAGGAATTATTCAGTATCTACTATGAATTATTTAGTATCTACTACGAATTATTCAGTATATACTATATATTATCCAGTATCTACTATAATTTATTCAGTATCTAATATGAATTATTTAGTATCTACTATGAATTATTCAGTATCTACTATGAATTGTTCTGTATCTACTATAACTTATTCAGTATCTATTACAAATTACTCAGTATCTACCATAAATTATTCAGTATCTGCTATAAATTATTCAGTATCTATTATGAATTATTCAGTATCTACTATAAATTATTCAGTATCTGCTATAAATTATTCAGTATCTGCTATAAATTATTCAGTATCTATTATGAATTATTCAGTATCTACTACAAATTATTCAGTATCTACTACGAATTATTCAGTATCTACTATAAATTATTCAGTATCTACTATAAATTATTCAGAATCTACTATATATTATTCAGAATCTACTATAAATTATTAATTATCTTTTATATATTATTCAGTATCTACTATAAATTATCCAGTATCTACTATAATTTATTCAGTATCTAATATGAATTATTCAGTATCTACTATGAATTATTCAGTATCTACTATGAATTGTTCTGTATCTACTATAACTTATTCAGTATCTATTACAAATTACTCAGTATCTACCATAAATTATTCAGTATCTGCTATAAATTATTCAGTATCTATTATGAATTATTCAGTATCTACTATAAATTATTCAGTATCTGCTATAAATTATTCAGTATCTGCTATAAATTATTCAGTATCTATTATGAATTATTCAGTATCTACTACAAATTATTCAGTATCTACTACAAATTATTCAGTATCTACTATATATTATTCAGTATCTACTATAAATTATTCAGTATCTATTATGAATTATTCATTATCTACTTCGAATAATTCAGTACTTCTTCTTGTAGATACTATGAATTATTCAGTATCTACTATAAATTATTTTATTACATTATATTATATAAATTATACAGAACCTCAGAGTTGAATAATATCATGGCTGTGATTTGGTCAGCGTAGATCACGCGAGTTGTGATGTCATTCACCATAACACATGACCCAGGGAGTGTTTCCACATAGCAGGATTTCTGAGTTAACCAGATAAATTAATCCCGAAGTAGAGGATTGTCCAATAGGAGCGTCCCTCAGCTCTTTTCCTATTTGACAAGCTCAACGTAAGTCTTAAATTATTCCCCCCTCAAGTGTTCTATTGCTTTTATGGAAAAAAAGTTTGCAAAGTAAGAAAAAAAGAAAAGAAGATTGTTTCAAATATTTATTTTCAATACAGGCAGTTTCCTCTACCAAAAAAAGTAGCTCCATCAGCAAAGCATGATTGTGATTACTCAGCAAGTAGTGGGCAGCACAGTGAAACAGGAATGAAAACATCATGATTGTTGTTATTATTATTATGTTTATGAATTGTCATTGTTGGTGCAGGAGGCGGGGGCAGTGTCGGTGAAGCAGGTGGAGGAGCTGGAGGGGGAGGCCCTGAAGGAGTACGAGGAGTACCACACTATGGAGAAACTCATTCTGAAGAACATGGGGCTGCTCTCCGAATCCGAGGACACACCAGACCACTGAGCACACACAGCTTTGCGGTATAACACTAATAATTCATACAGTTCTGCTATGTTTTATACAAGAACCCAAACATGGCGTTACGATCCTAGAGGACTTCAGTCAAAGCACATTGCTAATAATGAATGAATGGCAAAAGAGGCCAGTTAGCATTTACAAAGGAACTCATGCATTCATTCATTTTATACTGTCATGTTAGTGTTTCAGCTTTTTTAGTTCTTGCTAGATCTTAACTTCTGTCTTCTAGAGTTTATCCAGGACCTGAAGAGTCACAGTGGGATTTAGATCTATGGACACAAACATAGTCAGTATTTTGTGTATTTGTTATGAATGTCAGATTTGAAATGCACAGATTTAAAGGTGAAGTACAGCACAGTGTTTAAGGGGTCAAATTCCTGGATAGGGATTAAGACTAGCCCTGCACTACTTTTCCGCTCAATGCACAGTCTCTATTTAGAACACTGGTCCAGGACCGGTCTCAAGGCAGGGGTTCACAGCTCTGGTCCTGGAACGCTGGTGTCCAGCACAGTTTGGAGATTTACCTGCTCAAACACATCTGATTACACTCAACTGTTAATTGCCAGGTTTAGTGGGTGTGTCTGGGTAGGCAAACCTCCAAACTGTGCTGGACACCAGCCCTCCAGGACCAGGGCTGTGCACCCTTTGATTAATCCCTGTCTGGGAAACGGATCCATAACATTTTGTTATATGAATGAAAGAATTGCGTGTGTTTATTGCTTATTATTAACTGAACATTCCTGTTTTTAAGGATTTTTTGTTAAATAAATTATTGTTTATATCTTAATGTCCTTCAGTAAACACAAAACTGGTTTTATGAAAGTAAAAAATGGCCTTGTGTTTTTGTGCAGGCAAAACCTCCACATAAGCGCAAGGCAGAGTGTAACCTTGAGAGCTGGATTCTCTTGTGCTGGTTTCTGGTTACCTCTCTGAGTTCATTATAGTGTGTGTTTCGCTGTAACTGTGTCCAGGCTTTAGCTCCCGGGGGCTCTGGACTCGGACAGCTAATCAATCAGGGGTCATTGGGTTTCATACAGATGCAGTCACACTCTGATGTAAGATATGGATCAGTTATCGATTAAACCAGTCGATTCACACAGCAGAGGCAGCTGCAGTGCTAAACACAGCACAGAGGAACCTAATCCTCTGAACTTCTCAGCTTCTGCAGTAACTCAAAAACGCTTATTATAAAGTCTGACTGGGCTGTTTTATCCAGTAAAGGCTAATAAATGCCTGCCTGGTCTGCACTAATGTTCAGGTGTTATGAAACAGTTGATGATGCTGTTGTTTAGGACAGAATTTAACTCTTGGAAGTCTTATTATTTTTCTATTATTGTTCATTGTAATTCCATAATTACATGTTATGTACTTTACACTACATTTACATTCAGTTTGCATTGAGAATCAACAAGTATGAGTCTGTATTTCTCACTTTTCCATGTGTTCCAGTGTCACATGACAAAAACATGGTGAAAATGTTAACTGTACACAAAACACAGCAGAAACTTTTCATAGTTATTTAGAAGCAGCAGATCATGTCCAAACGTGTATCCCAACAATGTTGAAGCAGACTTTCTGTATTCTTACCATGATGAAACAAACTCACTGGATCTCTGTATTGCAGTCAAACGTGACAGAGCACAGAGATCAACTAGAGACTAAAGTGTATAGTATAAGACTATAGTGTTGTATATAGACTATATTATTGTGGAAGACTGTAGTATATAGTGTAAATAGTATATAGTGAAAAGTGTACAGTGTAAGACTAGTACATAGTGTAAGATGTTAGTGAACAGTGTATAGTGTAAGACTAGTTTGTAATGTAAGACTATAGTGCATATAGTGAGAGTATAGTAAGTATAGTGAACAGTGTAAGATGTTAGTGAATAGTGTAAGTATAGTGAATAGTGTAAGTATAGTGAATAGTGTACGATGTTCGTGAATAGTGTACGATGTTCGTGAATAGTGTAAGTACAGTGAATAGTGTAAGATGTTAGTGAATAGTGTAAGTACAGTGAATAGTGTAAGTACAGTGAATAGTGTACGATGTTCGTGAATAGTGTACGATGTTCATGAATAGTGTAAGTATAGTGAATAGTGTAAGATGTTAGTGAATAGTGTAAGTACAGTGAATAGTGTATGTGTTAGTGAATAGTGTAAGTATAGTAAATAGTGTAAGATGTTAGTGAATAGTGTAAGTACAGTGAATAGTGTAAGATGTTAGTGAATAGTGTAAGTATAGTGGATAGTGTAAGTATAGTGAATAGTGTAAGATGTTAGTGAATAGTGTAAGTATAGTGAATAGTGTAAGATGTTAGTGAATAGTGTACGATGTTCGTGATTAGTGTAAGTACAGTGAATAGTGTAAGTATAGTGAATAGTGTAAGATGTTAGTGAATAGTGTAAGTACAGTGAATAGTGTAAGATGTTAGTGAATAGTGTAAGTACAGTGAATAGTGTAAGATGTTAGTGAATAGTGTATCATGTAAGACTGTAGTGTTTACTGTTGAGACACAGTTGAGTGTAACAGTGAGAGGTGAGGTCGTGCCGTTGATCTTTCTCAGCAGGTCTGAATAAACACCTCATGCAGGTGATTAAACACTCACCATCACAAACACACACTCAGAGTGGACAAAGGGTGTTAGATGTACTTGACCGCTGTGTTTGGAGAGTTGGAACATATTAATCACACACACTGTTGACGCAGTGTGTTAAGAAGAAGTAACAAAGGTAGAAAAGTGAGGAAAGTTCAGTGACGTAGGTGAGCTGAAATAATAGCACCCTCACACACACAGCTGACAAAAGACACCTCTGCTGTCTGTCTAATGCAAACAGGGGAAGTGCGCTCGATCCAGTGAACTGGAAAAACAAACGAAAAGCATCAGCCTCTCTCTCTCTCTCTCTCTCTCTCTCTCTCTCTCTCTCTCTTTCAGAGCAGTGATGAAGCTCTATCAGGTCCTCATGTAACTCATACACTCCAACCCACTGAGGCCACAAAACAAGGACAGATTTTAAAATGATATTCTAACAAAAAAATCCAATGCGGTCGATCAGCTAAGACGTTTGGTGTCTGAAGTTTGTTACTGCATAACTATATCATCACAGCTCAAACCGTGTGCCGTCTAATATAATAGAATAGAATTAATACTTTGTCAATTTCGTTAACATAAAATGGAAATTTCTGTTTAGCACTGGCATATAGAAACACTACACTCTGCACTATGCTGTCCTACCAAAGGCCTTACAGGAAAGTCTGTCCACTCAGCAACCATCTTGGCAACATTGCTGGGCAGTTATTTCCACTCACACAAGACCAGACTCCTCTCTCTTTGAATGGGGAGAGACCTCAAGGTTCGAAACCGAAGGCCAAATTACCGCTTCAAAAACATCTGACAAAAATCTCATAAATAGTTTGTAGCGTTTGGCGTAATGTTCTGGCTACTGCACTTGCGCAGATCCCCACAACTGAGCCCAAGTAGAGGGGGGATTTCCCCCTGCGTTCATTGAGTGGATTGAAGGGTGGGACTTTCTCTGTAAACAGATGACTCGTTGAGCACTATGAGCTTTCCCATTCAAATGGTGAGCGACTGTACACACAAAACACAATAGATATAACTGAAATGTAACTGAACTACACTACCACTAAACCACTATATATATATATATATATATATATATATATATATATATATATACAACTATAACATACATATTACAAATATGGAAGGAAAAATGGACCATAATACACATTTAGGCAGTAATCAAAAATCAAAAATAAACCACCACCATAGACTTATGTGGTTTCTGACATTATGATATACCTATAACCTAAAACTAACCTGTCACATAACTGAAAACAGTAGCAGCCAACATGAAACCTAAATTTCATCTGGACTTCTGTCTGTTTTTATAGATACACTTTCAATATATAATAAATAAAACTATGAGATTATATGCGATTAATATATAAACTGAATTGGAAGAAATATAAGTAATGCTTTATGCATCGAGCCTTAATAAAGTAAACGCTGTGGTGAGTGGAGGTGATGCTGATCATGCTTTGAAGTACAGTGTGAGAGAGAGAGAGGGAGAGAGAGACACACAGAAAGTGAGAGAGAGGGAGAGGGACAGAGGGAAAGGTCAGCCATCGTTTTTCTAATCACTGCGTCTCTGTTTTTCTGAGTGAGTGAGGGTCTGTCAGCGCTGTATCTGTGATGGCTGAAGGTTTCAGATGAGCTGCCAAACATCCTTCAGACTGAAGGAGAGGAAAGAGAGACGCAGCGAAAGAAAGAAACATCAAACAGTCTCCAGAGCGCCGAGCCCACCCTAATAAAACCTGATTAAAACCTGTGAAGGGCACCGCGTCAACGGAATGTCTCTACACTCACACACTCACACACACACACACACACACACACACACACACACTTACAGTTGTATGTAAAAGTCTAATCAAAATAAGTTTTTAATCCACTTTAATACACAATTACTGTTTATGTGAATTTAATTTGCAAATAGTGCATTAAAATGTACAGAAGTGTGTCTCTGTAGAGGACGTGTTTACTTATTCACACTTAGAAAATCAACAACAACGTGCTGTTTGACCAGGGGGTATACCACAAAGCAGGATTTCTTAGTTAGCCAGATAACTTAAGCCCAAAGATGAGGACTGACCAATGGGAATGGCCCTTAGCTTTTTTCCTATTGGACAGGCTTGACTTTGGGTTCAAATTATCTAGCTAAACTGAGAAATCCTGCTATGTGGAATACCCACACAGGGGTGCCCAAACGTTTCCATAGGACTGTGTGCATCATGTTTTAATTCCTCCTCTTTTGATTGTACTGTAGCTAATACTGTCATATTTACTGCACTGGTAGGTGGGTCGGCCAATAATGCCAGTGTTGCTGTCAGTGAAAGTGAACACACTGAAGGAAGTACTGTGCTCAATCTGCTCCATTCAGATTTTAAACATCATTTCCACAAAACCTGTTTAGAGCCATATTAATAAATCACATCCAAAACAAACTAAAAAACGTAACTGTGCTGATGTCAATTATTATGTGGGAATGATGTACACATTTAATTCAAGCACATTAAATGCATCACTTTTTCCAGTGTTTCCACCAGGTAGCACTAAGAGACAGATGCTAAGTGGTGGCTCTTTATTTCTTTGTCAGCAACTTTTACAGTTATCAGAAAAGCTCCACTTTGGCAGAATGATGTACGTTTAATCTCAGGATATGAAAGCTGTTGGAGGTGTGGAGTACAGTGATGTGTCGACAGGGTTAATGAGGCTGAGCTTAAAGCCAAACTGTAGCATAAATCTTGACCAGACCTGATTCGATCCATTCGTAATAGATAATAAAAAGCCTGCAGGCAAAGTCCAGGAATAAATCTGTCAGCTGTCAATCACAGTATGATCAATAAAAAGGAATCAATTGAAAACCCACAACAGGGTTTAACCCCTTAAACTCTAATGGTCTGTAGGGTCCATATTTCAGATCCTCTCTCTCAAAGTAGAACTTAACATTAGTTTCATTGACCAAACTGAATAATTCATAGTAGACACTGAATAATTTATAGTAGATACTGAATAATTTATAGTAGATACTGAATAATTCATAGTAGACACTGAATAACTTATAGTAGATACTGAATAATTCATAGTAGACACTGAATAATTTATAGCAGATACTGAATAATTCATAGTAGATACTGAATAATTCATAGTAGATACTGAATAATTTATAGTAAATAGTGAATAATTTATAGTAGATACTGAATAATTTATAGTAAATAGTGAATAATTTATAGTAAATAGTGAATAATTTATAGTAGATACTGAATAATTCATAGTAGATACTGAATAATGTATAGTAAATACTGAATAATTCATAGTAGATACTGAATAATTTATAGTAGATACTGAATAATTTATAGTAAATACTGAATAATTCATAGTAGATACTGAATAATTTATAGTAAATAGTGAATAATTCATAGATTATACTGAATAATTCATAGAAGATACTGAATACTTCATAGATACTGAATAACTCATAGTAGACACTGCATAATTTATACTAGATACTGAATAAATTATAGTAAATACTGAATAATTGAGATGCTGAATAAGGAGTTACTGAAGTAATTTCATTCTCTCTTTAACGTCTCTCACTGCTCATAGTTGAAAGTATAGACAGAATACTTTCAAGCAGAGAGAGAGAGAGGGACACAGAGAGAGAGAGAGAGAGAGAGAGAGATGGTTTACATGTCAGGCTGTGAGTGGAGAGAGCCGCAGTGGTGGAGCAGACAGAGATCAGACATGTTCATATCAGATATCAGCTCCGTCTGAAACACTGCACTCTGCCTGTTTTGACTAGAGCAGCTCAGACAGAACAGGGTTCTCCACCACTGACCTTCAGCTCAGCCGTCTACAGTCCGAGTCCCTCACAGCCACCCAGCACAGGTTAAAGGAAGACTCACCTCTGTGTCTATAGAATCTCCTCCCTCATCTCCAATATAGCTGATCACCCACGACATGCCTGCTTCTCTAGTTCTGTTCTGGGGCTACAAAGCTAATGTAGCTAACAAGTGACAGACCCTCACACTCGCCTCGGACTGTGTGGAGCTGGACAGTATCTCTAATAGACTTCATTATGTGCTCACTGTTGTCTCTGAACATGGACTGAAGTATGTGGTGGTCTTCAGTGGGCATGAACAGAAGCTTCCATTGCTTGTTAGCTACATTAGCCTCGTAGCTCCAGTTCAGAACTACCTTCAGACACCAAACAAGTCTTGACTGACAATTCATTAAAACAAGCCTTTATTAAGTACCTGTAAACCTTTCTTACTACTTTGTATGACCAAAAGTTTGTAGACACCTGCTCCTCCAGTGTATCCAAAGAAATGAAGGGAGTTTGTCCCTCTTTGCTGCAGTAACAGCCTCTACTCTTCTGGGAAGGCTTACACTAGATGTTGGAACATTGCTGTGAGGATTTGATTGAGCATTGTTCCACTGCTGCACAGTCCAATGCTGGGTGGCTTTACACCCCTCTGGCCGACACTTGGCACTGATAATGGTGACCTTAGGCTCGTGCAGCTGCTCCAGAGCATCCCCCACTGGTCAGTGCTTTTCCGTGGAGATTATACAAGCTGTGAGCGAAAGCAACGGGTGCAAGTTCCAATAGCAGAATTCACAAATTCTAAGGGCCGTCTGGATACTTTTGGACAAATACTGTGCAGGATATTTGTGACAGGCCTAATCCACCAAATGCAAAACATTACCAACCCCGAACTGTTGAAGATGTTGAGCCTGAGCACTGATGAAGCTACATGGGGACGTAATGGACATGCTGTAAAAGGAAACAGCATTTCTGAGAGTTTGGCCCTGAAGCGAAGAGGAAGCTGTGATGAATGAGCGAAACGTTCGTCTTTCCACGTTTCCCTCTAATCATGGTTTTTCTCTCGGGCACAGAGCCACTAGCTCCACATCAAAAGTGCATCGTGGGATTGAAGGGAGTTGAGTAGGTTGATGTTTCTGGGTCAGAGCCAGATCTCACAGGTGTCCACCAGTTTCTGTACAGACAGTAGAAGAGTGCAGTCGTCGATAAGGGGAATCAGCTCAGTGGGGAAATGCCCAAACGCCATCACCCGCGATCGCAGGGGGATTCCAGACTGGCACTCATCCAAACAGACCTGCGGATTTCACACCTTTAACCTCTAAAAGTGCTGTTTGTGAGCTACAACTACTTTCCTCATAACTGATAAATTTACAGCTTAATTCCAATTATTATTAATACAGCTGAATAATTTATAGTAGATACTAAATAATTTGCAGTAACTAAATAATTTGCTGTAGCTACTGAATAATTTGCAGTATACACTAAAAAATTTAGTTACTGAAAAATTTATAATAGTTACAAAATAATTTGCAGTAGATACTGAATAATTTATAGTAGTTACAAAATAATCTGCAGTAGATACTGAATAATTTATAGTAGTTACAAAATAATCTGCAGTAGATACTGAATAATTTATAGTAGTTACAAAATAATCTGCAGTAGATACTGAATAATCTATAGTAGTTACAAAATAATTTGCAGTAGATACTGAATAATTTATAGTAGTTACAAAATAATCTGCAGTAGATACTGAATAATCTATAGTAGTTACAAAATAATTTCCAGTAGTTACTGAATAATTTATAGTAGTTACAAAATAATCTGCAGTAGATACTGAATAATGTATAGTTATTGAATAATTTGTAGTACTTGTATTTGTAGTTACTATATCATCTGCTGTAGATACTGAATATTTCATAGTACCTACTAAATAATTTGTAGCAGATATTGAATAGCTCAAAGTAGTTACTAAATAATTCATAGTATTTAATTAATAGTAGATACTGAATAATTTATAGTAGCTTCAATTTAGCAATTAATGCAACTGGCCGGCCAGTTTTAGCACTTCAGCAACACAGTTTGACTGTAATCACCAAAAGACGTCAGCCATGCTCTCTGATAAGAATCCTCACAGTTAGTGCTGAGCTCTCTGTCCTGACTGTGGCTGTCAAGAGCCAATATTCTTCACCCTTCATTCTCTGAATTATTCTTGAGTTTTATTTTTTAGTCTCCATATACGGACTCTAGAGTGACCAGCATGTTCAGTACTTTAAAGCTGTAGTGCAGTGAAGAACAGACACAGTCAGCAGACACACATGAAATATATACTTTAATGTGACCATATATTTCTCAATATCAGTACAAAGTGTATCAGGTTTAGTCATATTTTCATCATATTAGGGTTCTGTCCAATATCAGAGTAACAGAGCTGAACCGAGCGGTTAAAGCAACACAGAGGGAGCAGAAGCGTTCGGACTCCCAGGTGTTTCCCAGGTCAGAACGGCAGAGACAGACAGACAGGCAGAAAGAGAGAGGGGAGAGAGAGAGAAAGGGGGGGAGAGGGGCGGGGAGAGAGGGAGAACAAAAGAAAGGAATGTTCTGACAATAAAAAGGAGCAGCTCACATTTTTCATTAAGTCCAGTACCTTTTGCACGTATGTGAGAGGCCTCAGCGCCGACTCAGGATCAGCCCAGGCTCCGCCCTCTTCACAACAGAGGCCTGAAATCTGGCACAGAGAGCTGATCTGAGAGCAGCGCTTTGGGTCACTGCACACTTGAAGCACCAGAACAACACTGGCTTCAGCACCAGCCCCAAGATAACATGAAGAGGTAAACCTGCTCTTCACTCCCACACAGATAATCCAGACTCGCAGACTAAACCTGTTCAGGCTGAGCTTAACTACACTAAATGTCTCCAGTGTACAGTAGGTTTTTAAACCTGTCGATTAGCTTGAACTGGACAGCTGGAATCTTTGTTTTGTTTTTGTTTTTGTGGTGCTGTCCCACAAATAGATCTTCATTGGGGAGGGGGTGGGTGCACACATTACGTTGCAGTGCATGCTGGGAACTGTAGTGCAGCTCGTGGTGAAATGGGCTAATATTAATAGAAAATTATAATAATTTCGCAGGCTGAACAGGACTGTGCCATGGGCTGGACTCGGCCCACGGGCCTTGTGGATTTTAGAAGAACCACTTTTGGTTCTTTAAGAACCTTTCAATGGGTGGAAGGTTCTTCTTTTTCCTGTAAGGATACCATTTTAAGCATTTTTTGTTCCGTCAGCAACGACTGAGAACATTTAAAAACGTAAAGAACCTCCTCATCATGTAAAGGTTTTCTATCAGTTAAGAGTTTCTCCTAGAACCGTATATCCAAGCCAAGAACCAATCAGGAGCCTTTACTTTTCAGAGTGTAGCCTTGATCATGTGAGCATTACAGGCTGAAGAAGCTCCCTCATAATGTGGATTTTTATCAGTTAAGACGTTTAAAATTAAATTACAGTAAATCTCAGTAAAAATGACAGTAAATCTACCGTAAAAAGCCTTTTTGTGAGTCTGATTATATAAAACTGCCTGATTATGGAAGCTGATCAATAACTGTGAGGCCCAGTACTTTCCTAACTGCAGCAGCAGTGGGAGAACACCATTTTCGACCAGTTGTGAGAGGAAGCACAGCCAGTACTACCCACAGTATTACATTACTGCCTATGTTATGATAATACAGTACTTCATTATTAATAATTGTGAATGTAAGAGTGTATATTCTCTCATTTTACAAAAATCTATCAGCTATGCTTCCTTATATCAGTTTGATAAGAACTAATTAACATCCTCTACATGATGCAACAAGCATGTATTCTCTTTAAAAACTGGTGGAGTCCAGATTGTATCAGGGCAGGTATGAAGAACAGGCTTTAAAACAATGCTGGGCTGGTGGAAACCGATTCATATTCTCATAGACAAAACAATTTGACTAGTTTACACCTGTGTGAGCAGCTGCCAAACAGAAAAACAACGATTCGACCATAATTAAAATACTCTCTATTTACACGCATAAATACAGACGACTGCAGGAGATATTTAGATACTTATTTCTGACCGTAAAGCTTTTGACCATGCAACGCTCTGGACTCAACCCAGCCATCAACACGGATCTCTCCAGAAACTAGCCTACAGGAACACGTACACGCAGAACCGAAAATAAAAATCACGTTTTTACCGTGAACACGTAAATATACTCTGTTATTCGTACCGTTCAGCTTAAGCTGCTTTGATTAGTCCTGCACATGCGAAATGTGGTAAAAATCAACACCTTTATTTCCTTATTTATCGGATGCTGATCTACAGGCCAAATACTACACACTGAGGAACATTAAATATACACACATAGAAACTGTCCAAAAATATATAACAACTGGATTTATACATACTTGTATCTGATAAATACTGACGGGTTCGCATCCCTGGACTGCTAAGATATGACGCTGTTTCAGGCACCGGCCGCAGGTATGTCCACCGCAAGCGAACATCCTGGATCTTTCCACTAGAATCATCACTGAACACACATCCAGATGTGTTTATTTTTTTTGTATTTTTAAGCCATTTGGGGTTTTGCACGTATACATGCTCACTCACAATGGACACTGTTAGTTAGCGTAGGTGGGAGGAGAGGAAACAGGCATCAATTTCTATTATTTTTATTTAAAATATTATTCTTTAGATTCTACCAGCTATTCTTAAATATTATATCCATAGATACTACTAAGATTTTTAAATTCAGGAAGATTTGTATACGTTTATACGGGATGAAGCACTCACATTAGCACTTACCATAGCGTGTTAGTACTTTAAAGCAGACTCTACATAAAGGCATATGAATACATGCGCAGAGTTTATGGGATTAGGTGTCTATATGTCTGAGTGAAGCATTCAGGGTGTTTAGTTTTGGAATGTCAAAGGTTTGGGGACACCTAGGCTTTTAACATGCTTACTCTGTAGATTTGTTGAAGAAACTGAGGGAAAAAGTGATTAAATAAAGCCCATTTAAAGACTAAAGCCAAAGCCCAACCACTTTATCCCACTGTTGCGATATCAGCGTTGGCCTTTGGGCCAAAGTGATTCAATATGTGCTTTTAACAACAGTTTGGAATAGAAAAAAGTAAGAAAACTGTCAATAGTTTCAACACTTTGATGAATATGATATGATTATACTTACTTAACTATAAAGTATCAGTGAAAATCAAACACTGGAGGAAAAAGTCAAAAAGCAGGTGAAATATCCCCAAACTTTGACAGTCACTGTAGGCATATTAGGGATCTACCTGTATGACTCTGGTAAATGATTTCAGATCTATGCATTTGGGTCTATATTGGTGTATATAGCTTAACAATCTGCAGTGTATACAGCATAAAAGTATTAGGCTTAAATTGTAGTGATTAGCTTAAGCATTCTGGGGCGTATGGTTTAGGTTCTTGGGGGTGAATCTACTCTTCTAACTGCCTCTCCCACTGCGAGACTTTATGCCTGTACCGTTTACCTGAACTCCCGGTCCCGCCTCTACGAGCGGGCTTTTTGTAAGTGCATTGGTTTAGATCGTAATAATTCCGTACCTTTACAGAAATAATACAAATAAAAAAGAAAGCTCTCCGCTGCCTTAAGTACCACCTTTACACAATTAAGGCACCTGGCTCACCCCTCAGGGTTCAATGGCTTCTTCTAATAAGAAGAAAACAACGACAACGACGACGTAGCGAACAAAATCAGAGACAGAGAACCGGAGCAGAAGAATCGGATCAAAGTCCGACGAGGAATGTCAGTAAATACGTCCATCGTGTGTTTGTGTGAGAGAGAAGTGCCACGTTTCACATCCCAGAATGACTCGGCAGTAACTATAGAACCAGCGTCACCATCGAGTTGCCACAGTTGCTACAGCGTTTCAGTGGTGAGCGCCGGCTGCTGACCTTGCACTGTTGTCCTGACGCTGACCAGACCAGGGTCAAGAATTCCCCACCCCTACATGCCTGATCAAAGCATTAAGCGTTTGATAAAAAAAACTATCCATGCTCCGCCCACAAATATGTTCTTTCGTAGCAACTGTTGCCAAGTTGTACCAACAGAACATTAGCAGAAACGCCATTCAGCCCTATGAGAAAATGGTAGTGAGCATTGGAAATTAATACAGATACAATTTTGATATAGATTCATATAAAATACTTTTTCCCTATACTTTTTTTTTTTAATTCCATCCAAAGGTGGGCGTTGCTAAGCCACAGATGAGGTGGTGAAATTGTATATTTACTGGCAGTGATGGATTCCAGATTCCTGACGTTAACAACATGCGTACAAAATTCAATTTGACAGCCAATCAGCAGTCTAGATATTGGAGGAAGCCTGCCTATTGGCTCATAGCTGCTGATAAGACTCATTATATATTAAAATACATATTTAAATATGGTACTGAACAGCAGAATTTCTCAATACTCTGAGATATAGAAGTGATTCAGTACCATAAAGGAACTGAATTTTGAATTTAAGCCTTTCCAGTTCAAAATGCTATGCTACTGTAGCTAATTGAAACTGGGCATGTTGGAAACAGTGACTTTGCCACCATGCTAACGTTAACTCGATTACAAAATCAGCTGTTTTGGGGCAGGGAACACTTGAAACTGCAGGTCAGTGGGTCCCCAGGACTGGCCGTGAGAACTCAGTAGCCCACGTTGAGCTTAGTCTTGTTCAGCTCGCGCTCCAGGTTTCCGATCAGCGTGTCGATGCTCTCCTGCAGGTCGCGCAGGTTCACTCGGTTACTCAGCACAGGGCTGATCTCATGGATCTTCATGTAGGCCTGGTACGTGTGCTCTTTGGGTCTGTGCTCGTCTCTCTCCAAAAGGATCTGATCACCCCAGGGTTTTAAGACGGGTTCTTCAATGTCCTGAGGTCCGCTAACGCTAACGCTCTCCTCCGTCTGCTCTTCGGCGCTCTCTTGCTCCTTCACCACCTCCGCCTGTGTGCTCTCCGCTTTCTCCATTGATTCGTCCACCTCAACAGCGTCCTGTTCACAGGCTCCGTCCCCAGCCTCCTTCCTGCTCTCCTCGTGTCCAGTAGAGGATGGTTCTTCGCTCGGGACGTCATCGTAGTCGGCCTCCTCCTGGTGGGGCTGCTGGAGGTACGTCTCTCTGCAGCCGCTCCAGTCCCCGGCATAGCGGTTGCTGGGGCTGTCCAGCCGGCCGGCCCGAGGCCGCAGAACCCCCACCAAGTCAACGTCGGTCAGGTTCAGGACCTGAGGACGATCCTTTCTCCGCCTCACTGGAGCAGTCACTGTTGGGACCGTCACTTCTGGGATAGGCGTGTCTGGAGCAGGAGATGGGGGTTTACCCTGCGCATCCACAACTGAAAGAGAGGGAGGGAGAGAAAGAGATTCAGTGAACAAGATAACTAATCATGAGTGGAAAAAACAAACAACAAACACATGCATGAGAAACACATGCCAGACAGGCACAACCCTGCTCTTCTGGAACTGCCTAGTTTGATGTAACACTCATTACCAATGCAACTAAAAACATCTCCCAAATAAATACAACTGGTCTGGGATCGGTTCTAATTTTAAATCATAATGAATAGAGTTAAATGGACATACGGGACACGATTCTGTTTCGAAGCGCTGATGTTAATAATATGCGTAAAAAATTAATTTAGACAGCCAATCTGCAGTCTAGATTTTGGAAGAAGCACACTTACATTTCGCGACAATCTTGGAAGCCTAAATATTAAAGAAAATGAAAAAACGAGAAAGAATTATAACTCGATTTCTTTTTACATACTGTTTCTTTTATTTACTCCCATTACATCATTCAAAGCACCATTTCTTGTTCTCAAGCACACAAAGAAGGATTTCTGAGAACCACATAAGTTCTCCTGGAAGGAGAAAAAGAGAACACTGCGGAAGAGCTAGCGTAACGAGCTAGCTGCACTAGACCACTGGCCACGCACCGGAATGCTAGAATAAAGTTCAAGCCTCAAACCACACCAGTTCAAACCATTTCCCTTCAGTTTACCTGCCTGGCTCAGCTCACTAGGCCAAGTTAACCTCTCCGCTGATTTTAGCTGCTGCCTACAGGGGGAGGCGACGAGACAAAACACACAACAATCAAACAGCATGAACATGTTAAAACAGCTAGTTGTCACTGCAAGCCAATAAAAACGCTTTGATTAGCATGACGCACTGATGTTACACTACACGCCTCACAGCAGCAGCAGCGCCCCTGACTGTGATGAATTCACACTGGTTAGGGTGTTAGCTGGGTCAGTTTACGGCAGTGCTGAGAAGGAACCAGAGTAACTTCATTCAGCTCATCTGGTTGCTTACAGGGAAAGTCCACTGAAATTCTATAGTCGTACATGTTCAGCAGTGCACTGAAAAAATGCTGCTTTGAATTCATTTATGTACTTTTAGTTCCACATGAATGAAATATACCATAACATAGTTACTGTCACACATTTTAATTTTCAGCAAGAACTGTGTTGATATAATGTATTTTATTCATGTGGAACTGATTTTACACATTTATACACGTAAATTCCAAGCAACAATTTTTTCAGTGTCCCATAATACAAAAAACGTGGTCCGTGACTATAAAAAGATAGTCACTGCAAGCTAGTATGCACAATTTGGCATTTTCCTGGTAAAATGCACACCATAATGCTGCCTGATTGATTGTAAAGAAACACAAAAAAACACATAAACCTTACACTACAGATGCAACAACTGAACCTTTTCATTTTCAACTGTTCTACTGAGAAACTTTATAATTCACTTTAATAATCTGATGACAAAACGTATTATTTTTATTACAAAAAATATGATTGTCACTTATAAATGTGTTACTCGTTTGCTTTTTGTATATATTACAAAGATTCTATGAATTTCTTTGCTTTTTATTTCTGGTTTTTAATTCAACCTTCTTGAAATTCTACACAGTAATGAAAAAAAACCCTGAAAAACTACTATTTGCAAATAAAGCAGCATAAATGTTAATCTGGGGAGTCTTGCCCAATCTGGCAACACTAAACAGGCTGCTAGTATGGTGTGAATTGTCAGTGATGCAGCCCGATACGCGACCATCGAGGAGAGTCTTGTGGGTTTCGCTGACAGGCACAAATTGCATGACATGAAGTTTGCTTGTCTGCTCTGCTACTGACTAGCCAGTACTTAGCTTGATATAAAAAAGTGTACAGAACCACAGAGTTTCATAAAAGAGGTAAATATCAGTTACTCTCACAGCTTTACAGCTTTCTATTGTTTCAGTCATCAAATTTACCGACTTTTATCAAAGTCATTGCAAAGCTCGTCTGTTTACACGCGACAAAAGACCTCCGCAAACAAAAACAAGTGATAAAAATAACTGAGTAAGCCCAGCAAAATGGGTTATTAAGGTTTAAAGATTAAGACAAGTTAAGACAATCATTACATCACTACGCTGAAAGAGGGGAGGACCGACTTTCATTCACTTCTGGCCACACTAGCATTGTTTGGTTGACTACCTCTGTAAGGACGTGCGCTATTCCTGGTGTAAGGAGGAGCTGCTCTGTAAGCTCTGGTGGTTTAGAAGGTCGATTCAGGGCTGAAAGGGAGGAACCTTGAGGCTGCGTGAGAGTAACTACTGTTGGAGGTGAAGAAGAGACCGACGCTGTTCTCTGGAGATCTTCTCACTGCCACGGCCCTGACGGACTAAAAATACCCTCAACTCCACCACTCCTCCCTCCCCCAAGTCCTCTTTTTCTTTCTTCCCCTTCATTCCATCCGTCTATCCACCACTGGGCGATCCCTGACTGTCCACTTCCTCCTGAACACAAAATTATACACCTATGCTTTGACTAACACAAACACATACCGCAGCACAAGGGCATTCTGCTCCTGTCCACAGTCCCAGACTGGGCTGGAAGTGGCCCTCTGGGAGGAGGCTTTAAGTACAGCTCGGCTGTTCTGAGTGTTCGGGGTGAAGCGGGCAAGCGCTGGGCTAAAGGTTAGGTCAGGAATGTGTGTAATTATAGGCCGAGCTTATTGCATTCTTCCCTGCTGGAAGTAGACATGCATGAAGTCTGGGGGGGGGGCAGGGCGACGGGGTGGAGAAGAAGAAGGGGGTGGAGGCGGCAAAGCTGAACGCAAGAAAAGCATCTTTACAGTGGACTATCTAAATGAAGTGTTACCCAATATAGAACAAAAAACAGAAATGCACGTAGAAGAACAACAAAACAATAAGAACAATAAGACTGTAGTGCCGTCAGAGCTCTAGACATTATAATTTAAATTTGATCAAAAGGTGTTGCTGCGTGTGCAGTGTTGTTTTGCAGAAAGTAAAAAAGCATTTTTGGATTAAAAATAAATAATAATATGCAGAAGTGCAGACTAAAACCTGCCAATATGGTGTGTAAATGTAATGTATTATATGACTATGCAATTACATTTAAATAATACAACAAAAACACAACTAAAAAGACACAATCGGAGTAAAGGTTAAAAGGATCTGAATGATCAGCATACATTCATTATTTATTTATTAGTTAATGAGTTGAATTAGGTGTTTCAGATGAGACAAAGCCCAAAACTACCCTGGGATCTAATAGCAGGTTCACTGTGTCCATATGATTGAGGTATTTCAGGTTGGGGATGCACGATAATATCATCATCATATCAGTATCGGCAGAGAAGTATTGGCAATGAACAGATGTCTCGAATTTGGCCGATAATTCAAACTGATATTTAGTGAAGATATATATACAGCACATTTTATTCATTTTACTGTATGTGTCTGTCTCAGCATCGGCTAAAACACTGGCCATCTGCATCATCTGCCTAGACTTCCCATATCTGTTCATCATAATTACGATGCAATGGGACCCAAGATACTGTAGCAGGGACGTGAGTTAAACACGGCCAGAGCCTTGACTGTCCCTGGATGGAAAAACAATACGCAGCCAAGGCCTCTATCACTGCCTAGTCTTGTGCACCAGGGACCCCATTATGCTCCAAACACACAGCAAACACACTCTCAGCCAGTGGGGCAAGAACGGTAACCCAAACATCAGCGCACCAGAGGCTGAAGCTTTCCTGGATTAACCTTGGTGCATTTATGGGTGTTGAACAAAGAAATGTCATAATCTGGCATTATTATTTCCCTCTCAGAGCTCACAAAAATGTGTTAGTGCATATTTTGATTTGAACTGGATGAAAAGTTTGGTACTGTCTTGTTTTACTGAAAGCAAAAAGAATGCTTTAAATTTCTGACATGTTTTTGTAATTTTTGGACATCAAAACAAACGAAAGAAAGTGCTCTCGGTAAAGAACGTAAATGTAATGCAATACATCACCAGGCACATATTTAAACAGTACAACACAAAGACAGTGATGACTCGATATCAAAGCTACACTATGTAAGATTCGGAAACGTTGCATGCAACAAGCGTAAGAACATTCTGTAATGAACTTTCTGTTTCAGAACCCTTTCCCCGAAAAACACCTCTCATCTTCCAAGGATGTGAGTGAATTATTTGCTATTGTCACCATATCTTCATTTTGCAGACCTACACTCTTAGCAAAAAAGGGCTCTATATAGTACCAAAAAGGGTTCTTTGGCTTTTAACAATAGTGGGACCCTTTTTGGTGCTATATAAAACCCTTTTCAACAAAGTTCTATATAGAACCATCTCCAGCACATTCTCCATCAATCTGAAGGACCTTTTCCCGATGCAAAGAACCCTTTAATTATACAGAGAGTTCTATGAGTATTTATGGCTCTACATAAACCCATTTTCTTTACTAAAGAACCTTCAAAGGACCATTTTTTTTCAGAGAGTAAACATCGAGCCGGAACTTCATTTTGAGCCTGTAGGTGTGACGTTTATATGTAAAGATGTACGATGTGCTCTGAAAGTCTCCCAACCCGGCGCCTCCAACATTTGAATGGTTATTTCCGGCTCTGCAGGGCGACTTTCAGCAGCGCACATTCATCACACACCATATTCTGGACTGTTTTTATTCTCCTGAGTCAGTAACGATACTTCTTTCATCAGTCTTGCATAATGCTGCCTTAAGCGTTAAAGGGATGTGAAGTATACAGAGGAGCTTGTGTGCACTCTTCTAATGCAAAGTTTAGGAAACGACCAGTCCAGTCCAGTTCAGTACAGCCGCAGTGACCCTCGTACTGTGGAATTCTTCGACAATGACATCAACAAGACCCTGGACACACTGTACTCTCTCTCTCTCACTCTCTCTATATCATCATCATTCACAGTTGACCAGTGATCCCAGAGGCATGCAGCTGTTGTGCAGCGTGTGGTGTGTGTGTGTGTGTGTGTGTGTGTGTGTGTGCACGTGCATGCGTGTATTTGGTGGCAGTGGGAGAGTGATAGCACTTCAGGGCTATTTCACCCATTTCTGGAATGCTTCCCTCGGGCACGGGGCTTTCTCTCATAGTCTCACACCTCGAGGTTTTGGTTTACATTACAATACCTTACTCTATCTCTCTCTCTCCCTCTCTCTCTCTCTCTTACATGCTAAAGAAGATTAGAATGGCTGCTTGATCTGATGGGTCCCATATGGAAGCAAATGTTCCTGTACTATGTTTAGGAACCGCAGGCGTATCAAAGCCTGGAGCTTCAGAGTGGCTTCAGCCTACAGTAACACGAGCCACTGAAAAGATCTGAAAGAGTCTCATTTTTAAATAGTACTCTGACCCACTCTGCCCACCAGTTTTACCCTACGTTAAGAGTCAAGAGTCTCTGATTAGCATTATAATAGTTATTAGGTAACAGACAGTCTCTGCGCTATATGTGGTATAATGTATTATATTACAAATAACACTTTAAACAGCTGCCTGGTACAGAATATCGTAACGGATTCCACTGACTCCACTTCCAGTTTTAGTTGCAGTTTGTTAGCACGTGAATCCGCGCCACCTCCCTGTGTGTTGTCATGCAGGGTTTTTTTACCTGGCCAGAGCTGCAGAAGATAGTGCAGGACCTCAATGTGCTTTTTGAAGTGCAGGGCGCTGGCCAGCTCCTCAGAGTCCACAAACACTCTGTTACTGAGGCACGACGCCTCCTGTCTCTGGCTCAGCAGGACTGGACCGAAACACACTGCCAGGTTCTGACACGTCATCTTGTTCACCTCATGATGGGACGCCACGCGCTTCAGGTGGTCCAGAAGCTTCTGCAGAGTCATCTGGAAAGAGTGAGATAACAGTGTTCAGGTTCTGTTTCTGACAAGAGTGCAGATTAAAACGTCTCCCAAAATTCCTGTGTGCATGTACTAGTGAGCCACTGCCAGATTTGAGTAATCTGATTACAGAACTCGCAGCCAGTACCTTCTCAACCTCCGGCAGCGTCTCCAGCAGGCTGACGGTGTGTTCAGAGTCGGCTGGATCGTTCTCACAGCCGCTGGTTCCGATGAGCAGTGGACGCTTGGCCATTGCTTCTAGAACGGCTTCATAAAGCGATTTAGAGATGAGAGGAGACGGCAGCTCCCTCAAATAGTCCTTGAGAACACCTAGAAAAGGGAGAAAAAAAGAAAATGAAAACGGGAGATATGGTGAGAAACAGAACGAGAGGTTTACACATCACACATAATACATCATACAAATGATACAGTATCCACCATGTATGTACCATATACAGGTATACATGTATTACTTTCATAACCATCCAATCACATCCAAGAATTTTCTGACTTGTAATACAGACACTTATAAAATCAACATGGATTACCAGTAATGAACATTTATTTCTGGAGGATTACAAATGTAGTAACATTACTAAAGTACAGACATTTTAACACAGTGGCCTAGTGTGTCCTAAATGCTCAGCTCTTTTAGAGACCGGTAAATACGCCATGAAATACTGGTTTGAAATATGATATAAAATCTAAACTCTCTGATGCTAATAACTTTCATAAACAAGGATCTGCTGATACCGATATTCTAATATCCTAATGTTATTGTGCATCACCAATACAAAACATTTTACAATATGAAGTTGAAAAGAAATCTAAACTTTCCTGGCCAAGTACATTTGCATATATGAGGATTTTAGTGGAATTAATGCACACATAAATGAACAGAACAGAATAGTAAATAGTAAACAAGTAGAACAAATAAATAAATTAGTAAGGAATAAAGACAAAATATACAAATTCACAGTATGTAAATTAACTGTACAGGGTATTTACAAGAATACAGCATGCATTTTACACTGTTTAACTATTATATATGGATCAATCTACTGAACTGGTTTAAAATCAGTTAAAAGTTACTTGGACTGAAAAAAAGACAAAATCTTTTTCCTTTGAGTGACGCTGTACATTAACTATGTTTATTTTATTAAAACAAATGCTTAAATATTCCATTCTGTCCAAAACAATCATGACACGATCGAAATGTTTCAAAATGTTCCAGTAGTGACTGTTTCGGTGTGACAAATTTAGCTAATTTTGAGCAGAACTCAAAAACGCAGGCAGTACATGTCCAGCAAACACAGCTTTGAACAGCTGAACTCACATAAAATCACAATATTTCATTAAAACACAAAAAGTTCATTTGATTTCAGAAAATAAGTTTCAACAGTGAAAATTCTTAATGTTCAGACTTTGTTACACATTAACTTCGAATCAATGGGATCTAACTGCTCACCATGTGGCCATGAGGGACAGGGATGCAGTCTCACTTCCTGCTCTAAAATGCAGGGGTGGGGCTAAAATAAGGCTCCGCCTACAGACTTAAACTCTTTGTTTTGGTAGTGGCATGAAAATGTAGGACAGCATTTTTTTTTTAACAAAGTTTTTTTTATTTAACAATTAAACTCATGATAAATCTAACTTCACTGTGTTTTAAACAGTGTTTAAACAGGTAAAATGTTCCATAATGTGAAGCCTCAGTGAAGTCTGAGTGCTCACAGGCACAGAGAAAGCGTGCACTTCCCAGACAAGCGCAATACCTGACAAATTATGGTGAGTATAATCTCATAAAGCAGAGTCATTATTCAGCCTTTCAGAGTTTTTCTCCTGACTGCTCCACTTTTTCCCTTCCTCTCTAAGAGCTGGCGGCTTCCACTCAGCTTGGCAGCCAGAGGGAAGCCCATTGTTGTGGTGGCTTCTGAGAGGCGCTGGAATTTGGCCCGGAACGTCGGGGTTGGGAACGGCGGAGACGGGAGTGTTCCAGAGGCGGAATTTTCACACCTGAGCATTCAGTCTCTCAATGAATGACATTAAACACGGGAGCCAACATGAAAGTAACACTGCTAATCAGGAGACTGGATCTGAAACTCTAACACTAGACTACCCTGATTTGAGGGCCAAACTGACGGAAAACTCCAGAAATCAGGTAAAAAACAGAAAGAGCACTTTATCCAGCGTGGATAAATGGGGTCTAAGACTAGATTCATTCGCTCGTAACTGTACCTGATCAGCCCTCCAGAGACTGAGGAGAGAAAGAGAGAAGCGGAGAACGCTCTTGGCTAACGCTGGTTCCGATTAACAGACTCCAAATAGAACAGCTAATTCAGTCAGACCCAACCTCTGACCGAGGAAGTGCAAAGGGCCGGTCTAGAAATAGCATTTTGTCGGCCTCTGAGACGCGCAGACACAGGCTGTAAAGGTCTGTTGACGCTGCCCAAGGCTGCTTTCCTTCTGTAATTAAGACACACTTCAATTGCAAGAAGAGAGAAAGTGATTAACTAAATTAATCTGACCCGCTAATCCCATGCACGAAAGAGTGGACCAGAGAGCGGATTAGAAATTACCCGGGATTAGGACTGCTGCTCAGGATACACAAAGAGCAAGGCAAAGGCACATCGCTCGAAGCATTTAACAATCAAGTTCAGGTGTCACCCTTCATTGCAAAAGATCTAAATGACTACTTACACAATGTATTTGCTAATAGCTCATTAGCATGCGCTTGGCATCCCAGCAAAACTTGCACTTCTTGGAATTAATCTGAACTATTACGTAACTGTATGTCACAGCTGTAGATTATCTGACTCTGCAGGCATACTGCGTCTACCGGCGGACCCTCAGACTACTTCTATTTCATTTAAAGGAAAAAAAAATCACTTAGAAAAGCTAATGTGGCTAAAAATGCAGTTGGTGAATTATAGTGGGTAATGCCGCACCCTCTACGCAGCAGACTGGGGTCCCTGGGCAAGACTCCTAACGCTACTTTCTCCTACCTCTGTAATTCAACAGTAATTCACTCTGGATAAATGCATCTGCCAAATGCAGAAGCTGTAAAATGTAAAACAACTGAGTTAGCATGTCCTTAGCGCCATAGTACCAACCGTCTGCTATTAGAATTCATTCATTGTTAGCAATGTTAGCATTTTTCATACATTACTTCTACTCAAAGGCCAGAGAGAGAAAGCTTTTTAACAAAAAAATTTCTTTTCTTTCTAACATTTTAAACCATATCAATCATTTAGTTATACCAGGGGTCGCAGCCCAAATGTTAAGAAGAGCCATTTTGTCCTTTCAACAAAAATCAAACCACCTTGGGAGCCACAACATTTTATGTCTATTTTACCACCTTGGCTGTAAGTATGTCTCAGTATGTGTTAAGGTACTAGTATAGGATAAAAAATACTTTAAACGAAGACGCAGACTTACTTTGCTTTAAAGCTTTAGCTCAGCTATAACCGCTTTTCTCGCATCTCCAGCAGGAAACTTTTCCACAAAAATGGAATGGTTTATTGTAAAATGTCTCTCAGTGTTCGACTTTTACGAGGCTGAAGTCGCTTCTCATTCGCCAGCTTCTTGTTCGATATTCTCCCATTCCACCTTAAATGGTGCCTGAGGCGCCAGAATGTACCATTTAAGGTGGTACAGGAAAATAAGAGCTGGTGAATGAGAAGCCGACTTCAGCCTCACGACTTTTTAGAGTTTGACAGTTTCTCGCTACAGAGATACTAGCTAGGCTAGACTGCTACGGTGACCAGCAGCCAACCTTCAGGGTTAAGGGGTTAATTAGCGGTTATACATTAATGCCAGCGTTTGTTAAAACTGTGTAAGAACTAACTGTCAGCAGAGCTTTATGTTACTGCAAAGGATGATTATTTTATGTTTATCTACAAATCTAATTCTGCTGTGGAGCCACAACAGTGCAGTAAAAGACCACACGGGTCTCTGGAGCCACATGTTGCCGAGTTATTTCATTATATCACTGTGTCGTAAATTTTACATTTACATTCAATTTACATTCTGTATCAACAGGTTCCAGTCTGTACTTCTGACTTTTTCTGTTCCGATATCAAGAAATAACACAATGTAAACAATGCAAAAACGTTTTTTCTTCCCATATTTAAAAATAAAATAATAAAAAATGCATATTTAAATCATCAAGTATCTGCTTTTCCACTTACAAACACAAATGTGGTATGAACTGAAAGTTTTCTAAAAACTACAACACGCCCTTGTTAAACCACTGGTATCCAGGTTAAACGTGTATCTCAGCAACAGCTCCTTTTCCTTTTCGCCGGAGACAAAGTGTTCTGATTCACGTACAGACTCAGAGGGATTTGTAGGCCAGGTAAACAGGGCAGAGATGCAGGTGGCTGATAGTGAGCTGTGTAATTGGCTTGAACTCTTTGCCTTTTCTTTTTTTTAATATGAAGTCAATTGCAACATACAATATATGTGTTTATACAAGTGTAAGCTGTTCTTCTCCCACAGCTAACGGACGAAGGTGGTCAAGACAAAACACACATTCAGGCAAACAAACACACGGTCATGACTCAGAGTCAACATCTACACTCCGGAGGCTTATCTGGCCTCTGTGAGTGTGTGCGTGTGAGTGTTGTAAATAATTAACCCACTGTGACTCAGCTGCTCTCTGCTGTGTTTGTACAAAACCCAGCACCTCCCCCTCCACACTCACAGCTCATAAACACAAGGTCATGGCTGTAGGGGAGACAGGTGGTGCTACTTCACGCAGGTGCTATCAGTGTTTTCACAGCTCAGCCAGCATCTCTCTCTCTCTCTCTCCCTCTCCTTTTGGGCAGGAAGAGGCCCTTTACTGCCCTTTATTTCAGCCTTTGACTTTTTTGCATACCCCTCCCCTCTATGTCCCCTCCCCCATGTTTCCCTGTCTCTCTCCTTCTGTTCTCTCTATTTTCTCCCTGAGTCTTTTTCTCTCAGCTCTATTTTCTTTCTTTCTGTTCTATATGTCTTTCTGTTCTCACTCGTGTTCTCTCTCGTGTTCTCTCTCTCTCTCTGTGCTCTACATTCTCTCTTACTCTGTCTCTGGGTTCTGTTAATCCAGCAGGCGCGAGTCAAATACCATCTGTGTATGTTCACACACAAAGGGGGCACTTGTTAATGACTTTTTGTGTCTTTGCAGGGCGAGGGACACTCACTCACACTCAGCAGGAGGGAGAGAGAGCAGCATATGGAAGTCAGCCTGCAGGGCAACAGTTTGTTATCAGGACCTGCGTGTGCGTGCGAGAGCCTGCGCGACTGAGCTGGACGAAATTTCAAATCGCCTTTCAAAATCAATGATTTCAGTAACAGAAAAGCCGTTTGGCAGCAGAGAGAAGTTTAAAAGTGAAAAATGAGGCTCTAATAAAGTGAATATTTAGAATGAAGCTCTAATAAGATGAAGATCCAGAATGAAGCTCTAATAAAGTGAAGATCCAGAATGAAGCTCTAATAAAGTGAAGATCCACAATGAAGCTCTAATAAAGTGAATATTTAGAATGAAGCTCTAATAAAGTGAAGATCCAGAATGAAGCTCTAATAAAATGAAGATCCAGAATGAAGCTCTAATAAAGTGAAGATCCAGAATGAAGCTCTAATAAAATGAAGATCCAGAATGAAGCTCTAATAAAATGAAGATCCAGAATGAAGCTCTAATAAAGTGAAGATCCAGAATGAAGCTCTAATAAAACGAAGATCCAGAATGAAGCTCTAATAAAATGAAGATCCAGAATGAAGCTCTAATAAAGTGAAGATCCAGAATGAAGCTCTAATAAAATGAAGATCCAGAATGAAGCTCTAATAAAATTAATATCCAGAATGCCTTCTGATGTCTAGTTCAGTGGTTCTCAGACTGGTCCTCAGGAACCCCACACACGGGACCAGGCGGAGAAACACTGGTTCACTATATAAGTCATTACTGAATATAATAACAGTAATCAATAATATGAAAAGTGATTCTAGACTTAAGTGGTTTTGGTTTGGTTGACTGTGGAAGGCAAGTGAGCCATGAACACACAAAACACATCCTGCGTGTGTTTGATCATCCTTCTGTCTCTCTCTCTGTCTCTCTCTCTCTCTCTCTCACAGCACTCAGAGTTTCTGATGTTGTCACGGTCAGCTGAGGTTAATGAACTCGTGGCAGGTTCTGGCGCCGGATTTGAAACACACACTGTGGACTTTTATCCACTGAGCGCTCTGCTCAGTGTGCGTGTAGCTGCTCACGCCTCTCTGTTAACTTTTAACTGATAATAAAGCTGTTACTGCTTCATATCGTCACTGTATGATAACTCAATAATTATTATTACATTATGGACAATTATAATGATTTAACTGGATTTAAAAAAACGTTTCCTTTGAAAAGAACACCGCAAGTGCAAAATGCCTTTATACGTACCAAAGGTAAAGGTAAATGAAATAAGAAAAGTATGAGATAGGAAAAAAGACTGAATGCCCTACCACATTTAAATCCTTACTGTAAATATTAGCCTCAATTATCTACTGTTTTTCTTAGGTATTTGTGAGCCGCTGTGCTGTTTAAGGAGGTGGTTCTCATGGGCTTCACTTTCAGGGAATTCCTGATGGTGGAAAAAGAAAATTACATCTGACAACATTTCTCAGAATGACTTTACCCTGAAATCTCCCACACGGATGATATTTATATTCTTATAGGTGCACCCTGACCCACAGCACACAGCTCTCAACCAAGCAGTGAGCTTTGATATGCTTTGTGTATTAATATCAAATGATTATTCACTTTGGTCACAGTGAGTGAGCTGAGAAAGAGCTGTCAGATGTTTGCAGGGCTGTCTGGTGAATTTACAGTGAGCGGTGCTGTGTTTTCGTGTGTGTGGTAGCCGCATGTGTGATATTACTAACTAGCAGCGCTGCATGTACCGGTGCTGTGAAGTGATCAGTGCCTGCACACTGAACTATGGAGAAAGAGCTCCAGGGTGAGTCGGGGAGAGTGGACAGGGAGGGGGTCATCCGTGTGGGAGAAAGAGAGGGATGGTGTTTGGAGTCTGATTGGTAACAATTCAACTGTATAGGTTTTGGATGATACAACTGAGAAATGTATTTTTAATACAATAATTCTGAATCGTATATAAGAAGTGAATTGAAGTCTGCAATGAATCACTTCCTAAAGAACTGTAATAGAATTGAATCATTGTGATATTTGAGATTCCTTGATGCACTGAATCGATTCCACGATGCACTGAATCATTTCCTAAGAAATTATAATTGGACTGTTGTTCAGTTAGAGATTTACAGCCCTGGCGTGTGTGCGTGTGTGTGTGTGTGTGTGTGTGTGTGTGTGTGTGTTAGAGTATGTGTGTGACAGACTGTGTCAGTGCGTGTTTTGTAAGCTTTGGCTTGACCATTGACCTTTGCTTAATCTCTCTCTCTCTCTCTCTCTTCTGGTCCTCACTGGACTTTTTAAATTAGCCATGAGACTGACAGAGAGAGAGAGAGGGAGAGAGAGGTACAACGAGAGAGACAGCGAGAAAGAGCGAACTAGAGACGGACAGAGAGAGAGAGAGAGAGAGAGAGAGAGAGAGGAGAAAGGGAGGGAGAGAGACACTGACTGTGTATATGTAAGTTAGTTCTCTCTTAATTATAGTTTCTGCAGTTCAGTAACTCAGACTTCACTGAGACTCGACACACACATTCCTGCTCGCCCCTTTTATGCTCTGCAGTTTTCTGAAGCCCCTCCTCTTCCACACACACACACACACACACACACACACACAAAGCTATATCCCTCACAGAGCAAAAACCAACACATCCTCTCCAAACAGTCCACAGTCCTTCTATAAAGAGAGAGAGAGAGAGACTGAGAAAGGGAGAGAGAGGTACCCTCAGAAGAGGTAGTGCATTACCTGTGATGACGTTGATGTCGGGGTAGTTGCTCTCTGACAGCTCTACAGCGTGACTGTCTCTCTCAAACGCCTCCCTCAGCTCCTTCTTCACCGCCGCCGATCCACAAAGACGGTACAGACCCACCACCTGAACACAGCAGTACAGTAACATTAGAATAACATCTGCATAACCTTCGTAACCACAGTCTATTCTTTAATTACAACATCAGCATAATCACCAAAATCTCAGTAACTTTTAAATAATGATGGGTTTCCAATAACCTCATAATTTCACTTCACAATAACACAAAAAACATCAATAACACAGATTATAGCAAAGCTGCCACACAGACAAAACATCAGGGATGCATGACTGGAATAATCCAAAGATTGGCCATTTTTTAATATTGATTTTGGCCGATCTGCGTGCAGGTTTATAATGTAAATAATGTGTCAGTAAAAGGCACTCGTGCTGTATTTGAATACTGCTGCTACACTCTCAGAAACAAAGGTACGAAGCTGTCACTGTTGTCACTGGGGTGGGACCCTCAAGGGTACATCTCAGTACCTTTAGTCAGGGAACACAATTGTACCATAATCCATAGCAGCTGTACTGACTCCACACACTGTATCATCTCTTCAGGCTTTTTATTTTATTGTTCTGTTTTAAAACATTTGATTATGAAAAGGTACAAATACGAACTTTAAACCTGGAAAAACTAATTTCAGATACACAATTGGACCTTAAACCCACTGTTGTACCTTTACATTGTTGTACCTGCACAGAACCTTTATTTCTAACAGTGTTCACCTGTACAAACGCTGTAGTATAATTATACATCACTCATTGTGATAAACTGCCCATTTCTGCTTACTTACAATGCAGCACTTTTGGTTCATGTCATTTAAAAAGGCTTTTTAGCCGTTAGCTTCAAGAATTTAAAAAGCCAGTTTGGCCTGGTAAATAGTAAATAATGCTGTATCTGTTGCCACTTTGGCTTATAAAAAGTAATAAAAACGTGTTAGTGTCTATCATCTGCTCATTTAACCCAAACATTGAGTTTGAGTTATTATTTAATTGAGTTATTAAAATAAAAAACAACAATGAAAGTGTCATAAAAAGGCCAAAAAGCCATCGGTCAATCGGTCTGTGTAGAAATCAGAATCAGACATGTGTTAAGAATATAATACACAATATAAATACATACATAGTTAAAATCTTGTATTCTGAACTTAGTCACACGCTCCAAATCAGCCTTCTGGTTTTCCCGAGATCATCAGTACTGCTCCAAACTCCACGAGGACACAGGAGCACTATTTCTAGCTGTAACCGAACAATCCGAAATGTAAACCAACTACAACAGAAAGGCCCCAGCTAACACCTGGAAGCTTCCGGCCAGAAGCAGCTTAATGAAGACAAATCTGCCTCTTTAGCACAAAAGCACTTCATCTTACATAACTTAAGCCTGCACTCTCCAAGGCCACTCAATCCAACTTAATTCCTTATGTACATATTAATTACCCTTAGTTACACAACTGAATTAAAGGAGCACGGCTCAGTGAAGTGAACCCATTTGTTTTCCATGGTACAGCTCTACAGGCCACTTTTCATTCGAGTAAACTCAGCAGTTTAACAGAGCCAACGCTGCCGTCCTCCCCCAGCACTTACACAATGTACGGTCGAGGGCACTCTGGATCAGTAAGAGTGCGAGGAAGAGGGATTTGGGCTCAGAAAAGCCCAGCAAAATTAGCAAAGAATGTTAAGCAGCTGATTGGCCTACATTCAGCCGGAAGTCTTAATCCGTTCATATCTGTAGAGGAGCACTGGGCACAGACTGGACTGACCGACTACTACCCAGCAGAACAATAACAACACAGCACTAACTGTTGATTTGTGCACTGTTTGTTACAAAGTGATGCACTGTAAAACTGTAAACTGGTAGGAACATAGCTGTACATACATGTTCACAGACCATACTTCATTTATTTAACTCTGAATCAAAACAGCCATTAAATACATCAATACGTCATTCATTTTCAGGAGATGTTTGTGAGGAGATTTACATAAAAGATAATTCATTTGCATAATGAAGAAAGTCAAAGTAAATCGCTTGCAAAACTGGAGTACAAAAATAAGTCAAAGTTAAAATGGGCCTCCTAACAACCACCTGGAAGACCTGGTAGACCCCAAAACTGCCCCCATAAGATAAACAGCACTTAAAGCTTTCATCTTTGAGAGAGAGGAGAAAATCAAGCTGCTTCAGATCTGAAAACATCCACAGGTGTTTCTGTCCATCCTTCCACTGTGAGAAGACGACTCAGCGCTGTGGGTCTGAAAGGATGTGTAGCTGTTAAGAAGAACCTCACTGAGAAAAGGAGGCAGACAAAGAAGAAGAAAATGGACAAGAACACCAAAAATGAGACTGATGAGTCTAAATTTGTAACTGGAGATATTTTGCGTAATTCTTTCTTTAAACTTTATGCTAAAGAAATGAATAACTTGTACTTAATGGCTGTTTTGGCTACAAATGAACTCCTAAATTAACTACTGTACGTATATTTGTTCTAACACACCACATACTTCTTGCTTCAAGCAAGCCAGTAGGAAAATAAGCCGCTTGCTCTGCTTCTGTGAAGCTAATGTTGGTATTAAATGAGAAAACCAGCGCAGGTTTCCAAGTTAAACATAAAGAAGCTGGACAAACACAGGGCCAAAGTCAGTGGGGTTTGTCGAGGGCAACAGGCTGCAAAGCCACAGCAATAGTAACTTTTCACACTCCCTTGCCCTTCAGAGAGAGAGAGAGAGAGAGAGAGAGAGAGAGAGAGAGACACAATGGGTGGGAAAAAATGCCAGATTACTCTGGGGTTTAGTTCACGGCTTGTGTAAATAAAGAGTGACCTGCAACAATGAGGAACAACAGCTCCACTGAGGCTGCTGGTATGTGCATGTGTGCTTGAGTGAATAACTTAAGTGTCATCCATAGGAAACAATAGGCTGCCGATCTCATTAAAGCTGCCGCAGAGCTTTCCTGCACTGGCTGAGGTTTTCCTCAGTGGCCCCTGCGGTGCTGGCTGCTGTTCCAGACAGCATCACACTCAGCTTTCACTCCACGTTCACTCAGAGAACCGACCTGAGGCTCCTAACAGCTTAATTCTGCTGTCTCACAAGAAGAACCTGACATACATAATGCTATACTATTTTTCTGAATACTGTGCATTATTTATATACTGTATGCCAATTATCCACTTAGGTCAGGCTTCCAGGGGTCTGTGTGCGAGTACGCACTTCAACTGCATACTTACATATAACTTTCATGGTGGTAACAAACAGAACTACAACAATTACTTGATCAAGCAAACATTTATTATGAAAAAATGACAGTGAGTGTGTTTACAATCACTTAATAATCCGATAACTGCAGAAAATCAGATTTTGTCAGTAATCTGATCAACACATTTACATGCACTTGAGTAATCAGATAATGGAGAAACTCCAGGTCTACATGAGTCAGACAGTAATCAGATTTCTGCTTTGCAACCAGCCAATAACTTCATGGAAGAAGACGTGATGTAAACGTAACGTAAAACTCGAACTTCATGCTGCAGCTTTTCTTTAAAAACATCGCGCCACTTTACCTGAAACTATAAACATACATCATCTAGAAGATGAATAATATTTAAATGTTTCATTTCGTCGAGAATGTAGTCGGTTTCAGCGTCGCTCCAAGTGTTTTGCTGCGTCTCAGACTGAGAAATCCAAAAGAAATCAGAGTAAGAGTTCACATGCACTGAGAAATCTGATTACTGAGCTAAAATCCAGCCTCTTTATCAGATTTCTTGATCTGATTTTTACATCGGAGTATGGTGTTTACATGGCCATTTGAACAACCAGATAACTGCAGAAATCTGATTACGATCGGATTACTGAGTGCATGTAAACACACTCAATGTTGACTTTTCCTGCTAATTTACTTTAAAAATGCCTGATTATGCTTTATAATGATCTTATCATCCACACGGTCATTCTGACACAGCAAAACACTACAGGACATGCAGGGAGCGACACGGCTTGTACTGCAGCACCATTAAAGAAGAAATAACTTTTTGCACAAACTTTCAATAATAGCGTTTGGTAGCGGCAAAGGAAGAGGAAGCAAACAGCCCCTGAACAGTCAGTCGGTTTATCAAATTAATAGTCAACAGGTCACACAATGAAAGAAATGATCGTCATCTGCAACACTTGTCACTGTAAAGTATCAATAATAATGCAAAGCAAAACTGTCTTTAACTCCCTTTAGTCTCTCTTTAACTAACATTCAACCAAACATCTATTAAAGCAACTGAACATGAAGTTGCGTGTGAAAGACTATTAAATCTATCCCTAATGCTAAACCTAACCCTGAGCCGAACCTCCAGGCAAAACATACACCTACTCCTAAACCTAATCCTAATCATAATGCTGTTAAATCTCTGTAGATCATCTAAAGGGGAACATCCAAATAAAGAGTGACCAGACATTCTATTATTTATGGCATCTAAAGTTGCGAACGAATAAGCCAATCAGCACCTGACTCCAGTCCTCCTGCTGCCTCCCAGCTCTAGCACTGAAAACCAAAGCAAGACACTAGATATCCTACATTAACGCCACATTTACGGTACCGAACATAAGTTTGTTTCAGAAATGCTGCGGTTGAGCCAAGTTGATTCAACGTCCTTGTGGGGAGGCTTGGAGAAGCCACTGTGTGCTGCTGCAGCAGGAGGTGTATATTACACCTGTATGGAAAGACACCTGTGTTACGGCATATGTTTTAGGACAACCTCGGACCACAGCGTCAGGTTTCTGGACAAACAGTCATGTCTTGTACAAGCGGACATCAGGCGAAATGTCCTAAGACAAAAAGCCATCAGGTTAAACAGCCACAGACAGTAAAGTTAGCATTACCATTCTTTCTTACTAGATTAACTACAATTTTGTGGCAAACCACTCACACGTTCCCTACGTTGGCTCCGACATCCGCTTCATCGTTACGGATATGGCTGAACAATTTGGGGAAAAAATCTATGATTTTTCAGATCAGTATTTCAACTGCCATTTAAATTGTAATCATTTTCTATAAACTGACAATAAGGCTTGTTTTTTTTTAGCTAAAAAGATCAACGTCCCCACTTTTTCTTGCTTGAGGCTTGAAGGGTTAACATATTGTGCCACGTTGGTGTTTGGTTGCTTCTAATTGGTCTAATTAATCTGCAGGTGGTTGACTAGCTCCATGTTATCAGGTCAAATTTCCCAAAAACTTACTGAAACTTGCAGCCTGTAATACAAATTGCACTCTTTTAAACTTCAATTTCAATGTAAAAAACAATTCATCTTTCAGCCCCGGTTAGGGCACGTCAAAAAATTACCCTAAGAAAATGTGTGTAAACACTTTGTGGAAATAATAATAATAAAAAAAAGTCCCGGGTCAACAGTTTACCGCAGTTATTTTCCACATGATTTCCTGAAAAAGGACTCTGTTACCGGCAAAGATTGGCTGCATAATAATACTTATGTTGAGTAAGAGTTTAGAGTTTCCCACATGGAATAAAGCCAAAAATGTGAACCACAGACAGAAACTCTCACCTGGCCCTTTTCTGCAAAATAATGTAATTATCTAGAAAACCATCCGCAGAATTTACTACTGACAGGGAGAAAAAATTGTGCTGAGGAGAAGTTACTCACTTAAACACGCAGCAGGTCCAACACACACACACACACACACACACACACACACACACACACACACACACATACACACACACACACACACACACACATACACACACACACACACACACACAGGCTGGTATTTTGGGATTTTAGCAGCCTAAGGTCATGTATGTCTTAAACACACACTCTAACCTGCACGTTTCAGGCACCCAAACAATCTCAATAAACATGCCTTCAGGAGCCGCGCCGTGTTCTGCATGTTCCTGCTGGCCTGCCTGAGACGCGGCTGTTTCCCCCACACTGAAAAACAGCACGCCACGCTCAGGGCGCCCTGCTCTCCGTAAACAGGCCTGCGTTTTGACTAATTGTTGACATAAACTTTACTCTACTTGCTGACTCTGAAAAGAATCCACAGAATAGACAAGGACATTTCATTACGTTGTGTAAGTGAAAAGAGCTGTAGACACTGCAGTCTTACTGCAGTCCTACTGTAACAGTATAAATAATAATAATAATAATAATAATAATGTAATTATTATGCTAGGTGCTGCAGGTGTTTGGCCACAGGTTAGCCACTTTAAGCTGTGCAGAGAACATTTCATTCCATGGATGAATAGACGGGATGGAAAGAGAAGAAAGAAAAGTGTTGGAGAAAAAAAAAGGAGTTTATTAAAGCCACGGCAGAAATGTTGGCAGCTTTCTACAGGGTTTGGACTAAGAGCTAAAGGACCCACAGGATTATAGACTCCCCCATTCAACTGGACACACTGAGAGCCTGAGTGCTGATCCAGGATCAGAGCGCTGCCCCACTGCGCTGTAGCTAAATCCTGCGTGTGGGAAAGCCACAGCAATCCAGGATCAGCTCCCAACTGGCAGCTGTGAGCCTCGCTCCAGCATGAAAGAGGAACTCTGGCGTTCCAGCCAGGACACCAGGCTCTGCAGTGTGAGTGTAAGACTGAGAGAGGGGGGATGAATGGCTAAAGGCCTGGATAGAGGCCTGGACACACAGCTTACAGCCCTGAATATGAGAGAGAGAGAGAGAGAGAGAGAGAGAGAGAGACAGAGAGAGAGAGAGAGAGAGAGAGAGAGAGAGAGAGAGACCAGTAGCAATGACACTTTTACTGCACTCTAATAAAGACAAATGAATTGATGCCACAGGCTGCTGGCATGTTTGCCTGGCCTGGTGAAACGTGCTACTACACAATCGATCAACTTAACAGGATCAAAGCGAAAGATGATATAATAAAATGAGACTTAATTACAGGCTAAATTTGAAACCATGGCCCAAAATTAACTGTACAACAAATGTGCGGCTGCCCCTCTTTTCTTTAACCCCTTAAAACTATGACCTGACCAATGACCAATAGAGCTGGGCGATACAGCAAAAATACTGTCACTTTACTTAAAGAGATTTTCTTGGTACACAGTGCGCTTCACAATTATTTGACACGCAAAGACTTTTTGCCACATTCCAAAATGTGCCATTAAAACTTTGCCCACCGTCACTGGTCGATGTTGGTAACCCAGTTTTATTGGTATTAGTGAAAATACTGAGCCAATAAGTGGCATTTTTAGTTGCAGCATCACACAAATAGTTGGTCCACTGAGGATCAATCACTATTTAAATATATTAGTAGCTAAACTGGAGAATCTGAACATCATGGCTAAAATGACAAAAAACAGGTCCAATATATATAAACCTCACCTGCTTTAGCATGATAATATGAATAAAACTGATATAAGAAAACAAAATACCATATTATGTAAGTATAATGTATAATAATAGTAAGTATCCTTTCAGTCTTAAACTGAACAAATATCCAGAAGGAATATCCATCAGTACTATTTCAACAGTGGTAAAAGGTAGAAAATGACTACAAATCTAAATAACTACAGCATTACTCACTCTTTAATAAGTTCTTGTTCTTCAAAAAAAACTTGAGATGTTCAATAAATCATCCAGTTTATAATATTCAATCCACAGCGCCAGTGGTGTGGTAAACACACACACTGAGCTTAGAAAAATACAATTCAGCAAAACCCAAAACCAACCAATGAGCCCACGCATATAAACCCACTCACCTGACATCCTCTCCTCTCGATCTCAGTGATGCACTTCTCTATGATGAGGGGAACCTTAAGCCCCGCCGCCTCCTTCTCCACCACGTGGGTCGCGTCCACCCCGAAAACGTTTGCTTCGTGCTCTTTGTCGCTCTCGAATCCTTCCAGAGAGCTCTGGTCCTCTGTTAGCCCGATCTTCACGTAAAACGTCCCTCGGGGCACCAGACGCACGGCTAACTTGTGGGTGCGCCCAGGGGTGCGAAACAGGGTCGGCAGCACCACCGTCCCGTGGCAGCAGCTGCGGTTCTGGTGCGTCGCCACATCCCAGCTGACGAGCGCCAGCTTGAGGAGCTGTGCGTTCTCCACTTGGATGTTGAAGGTGTGGTCCATGTCCAGGAAATCCGTATGGCAGGTCATGAGGGCGGTGCGTGCCTTGTTGAGCGTGTCCACCTGGATGTTGCAGTAGACGTGGCGAGGGTCGGTCTGCGGCGGCTTCAGGCCCTTCGCCTTGCGGAAGTGGAGGGTCATGTGGCCCGAAATGTACGTTGTACACTTGGGCTGCTCTGAGAAACTGTAATGTGAAAATGACCCCAAGTCTTCTTCCGTCTTAGGCGCGCCTGTGTCTTTGTCCCGAGCTCTGCTGGTCTTACCCTCGGACAGTCCATGTTTGCTCGACTTGGCCACCAGTTCTGGAGAGTCGCCATCGCTTAGGTAACCCCCTTTGCTGGTGGATTTGGGTACCCCATCTCCGCTGCCCTTCTTCTTGCTGTAGCTGTGCTGTTGAGTGGACACACTGCTGTCCAGATGATAGCGGCAAATCACGTTCCCGCTTGCGGATGCTGTACCCATGCCCCCCGGTGGGGTCGTGCTCCGCTCAGCCGTTCTGTTGTCTCTTGCCGGGTGGATCCGGGATTCCGACTGGCCGTTGCTGGCGCTGCTAATGTGGTTCCCTTTAACGCTGAGCTTCCTGCTGAGCTTCATGGAGAGCTTTCGGACTGTGCGTGGCGATTTAATCCGGTCAGGAAAAGACCAGTTAATGGAGCAGCTCTTTTTGGCTGGATTCGGGCTGGTGGGAGGAGAGAATCCCACCGTGCTTTGTTCAGGGGATTCTGCAAAAAGAGAGAAAAAGTGTGTCAGCAGGTGAAACCACTGGAGAAAAAACTCCACTTGTTCATCAGACCCTTCAACTCCAGGCTAAAGGTTTATTATTCAGTACCTTTTTACTATGAAACCAACACGAGTTACAAGAGTGCAGTGTGGGCCCAGATACGGACCCCTAAAGTTCAGAAGCCAAGGCACGCTGACCCAACATCCCCACAGTTACTAATGCTGGCAGCTCGCTTTATACTGGTCCATGATAAAAATTGACCACCCAAATTAACCTGTATTAATGGGGGGAGAACATTCCAGAACAAGGAGGCAACGGTCATTTTTGAAAAGAACATTCTAGAATATCATGGTTGACTGAGAGCTGTAGAACAAAGTCAAAAAGGGAGAACATTCTAAAATACTGTGATTGAGTAGAAAATTCTAGAACAGCATGAAAGTGGGAGGACATTCTAGAATAATGTGAATGGGGAAAGAACATTCCAGAAAAATGTAAATGGGAAGAGAACATTCTAGAATAATGCGAAATGGAAATGAGAACATTCTAGAATAATGTAATGGGGAAAGACCATTTTAGAATAGGGTGAAATGGGGAGAGAACATTCTAGACTAACTCAAACGGGAAAAGCACATTCTAGAATAGTGTAAATATGGGGAGAGAACATTCTAGAATAATGTGAATGGGGAAAGCACATTCTAGAACAGCATGAATAGGGGAGAGAACATTCTAAAATAATGTGAATGGGGAAAGAACTTTCTAGAATAGTGTAAATATGGGGAGAACTTTCTAGAACAGCATGAAGAGGAGAAAGGGAATGAACAGGGAAAGAAAGAAAACATTCTAGAACAGTGTGAATGGGGAAAGAACATTCTAGAATAGTGTGAATGGGGAAAGAACATTCTAGAATAGTGTGAATGGGGAAAGAAAGAAAACGCTCTAGAATAGTGTGAATGGGGAAAGAACATTCTAGAATAGTGTGAATGGGGAAAGAAAGAAAACGCTCTAGAATAGTGTGAATGGGGAATGAAAGAAAACGTTCTAGAATATTGTGAATGGGGAAAGAACATTCTAGAACAGTGTGAATGGGGGGAGCTTTGATGGATCCTAACACACAGTACTGATCTGTCAACACGAGCAGGCAGTGAGTGACGTTCTCAGCTCTAAAACACAAAAACGCTGCTTGGCCGGCGGGAAGCCGTTCAGTTGACCCTCAGCTGACCTCAGCATGGAACAGGGAGCCACACACTCCTCTGACCAGGCAGGGCTGAGGCACTGGCTCTGACTGGGTGATTACAGGGTCTTTCCTCTAATAAGGAGGCATCCTGCTGTCAGCAGCCCTTTACCAACACCCCACGAGGAGCCTGGCGCTTTCCTACACCCAACACCACAAAACAAGCGCTACCATTGTGACGGTGCTAGTGGGTTCTGGAACGTTTGGACACACAGTGAACGTGTTCTGAACTCCAGTCCTGATGACCCAACGTTCTGCACAGGGCTGCATATTCCAAACCACACTGCTGTCATTTCACCAATCAGATAACAGCAAAAGAGCTGATGAACGAGTGTCAATACGGGGACGATATGACTGTGCAGAGCAGGAGAAGAGAACAACCAAATCTGAGCAGTGCGAACAGTGAGGAGTCTTACTCTCACCACAGTCGATCAGGACGATGTCTGGTGTCTGAAGTTTGCTTCTTCACCTTTGCACTGGAGATAATGTAGCTAAAAGCAATGGAAGCTTATACTCTACCAATTAGCACTGCCTCACACACTCACCCCATGGTAAACTGTTAAAAATTCTCAAAAGTACTTTAAATATCTAAATTCAGGCCATCTTGAAGCTGAAATTTTATATTAAGTTTTGTCCACTTTTATAGCTGCAGAGCAAAACTGAAGAAGTAAACACGGCAGTCTGACTACATTTGAAGTAAACTGTATGAAGTGTATTTTTACTCCACCTCCGTTTCACTCTCAAAAGACTTTGGAAGAGCATTCCCAGCTCCTACACACCAAACAGCTAAACCACTGACCGCCTGCTAGGAGATGAAAAGCTAAGCTGTTTGTTTTACGCTGAGCCGTGCCACAGCGAGCAGGAAAACATCGGATGGACATCTGTACAGCTCAGATCTATTCCGGGACTCCCTGTAAGTGAAACAGTAAGTGATATCACACTGGGACCTGCTATACAGTAGTGCTGGGAAACATCGTCAGTGCCAGTATTTGTGTCACAGTATTGACAGATGATCACGTTCGGTTCCATCAGAATGCATTCACCCTGTAGCCAAGCAGTTTGGCTCATTTTCTAACTTCATTTTTATGCACTTTAGACACGGCATCCAGTACCTGACAGTTAACCAAGGTGATGTGTTGGCTGCTTAAGCATTTTCAAAATACATGAAAAGTAGTTTCCTTTCTCAAACTCTCAAACTGTGGCTTCTGTTGGATTAATAATATCAGTACAGTGTAAGGTTCCCTTTAGTGGTAATTAAAAAGAATAAAACAGAACAAAACAGCTGACAAAACAAGGCGTCAGTGCATGTTCATTCAATGTATTAGGGCAGACTTAAAAACCCAAACCCATTTCTTATTGTTACCCCTACCCCTGGTTTTCGAGTGTCACCTTGAAATACAGGGGTAGTGGTCGAAATCTTCCTCTATGAAATGGGACCCTCAAATTAAGAAGAACATCACTTCATTAACAGCTACTAGTGCTGCTCTGTAGGCGACCCTGCCAGTCTGCAGTGATGGCAGAGGGGGGTAAAGCTCAGCAACATCATACACCTTTAATGAGGGACAATTATTTATTATCGCCCTCCCCCAGTTCTTCAGTGATATGAAGCTGGAGTCAGATAATCGCCAGCTTCTCATTCAAGATTTCCTGTTCTACCTTGAATGGAGCAGCAGTTACATTCTGGCGCTTCAGGCATCAGAACTGCTGGGCTATTTAAGGTGGAATGGGTAATTTAGCTAGCTAGCTACTGAGACATTAGCATACTATTAGTGATTTTTCATGCTTGTTATTAAGAAAAGGACCATAATATATTAAAACGACATTAAACTAAGACAACACAGTGGTTAAGCATCGTTGTCTCTGAAAAACCTCCGTTTGGAGGGCCATGTAGCCCTAACCCTACCCCTCTATCTCAGCAAAAATCAGGACACCCTACCCCTAGACATGAACGCACAAAACGGAGGGCTAAGGGCTCGGTGGTGGGGCGAGGGTGAAATGGGATTGGCTCTCCAGCCAAAACAAAAAATGTAACCATCACTGCATCTACTGTAAACATGCCTAGTCGCCTCCTACAGTGGTGCCACTATGGTCTACAGAGTGAGAGTTTCTGGTATCTTGAAGCAGCCAGCAATTCCTTATTCCAAAAGGTTAAATGATTATGCATAATGCATGCTGGGAATTGATCTAAAGTTGAGAATTCTGTCAAATCAATGATCATCACATAGTTTTAGGTCAGAATCCTCCTTTAAATATCACCTGATATCATGATGCCCTGATATATTTGGGAAATGCTGTGATGTTAAATTTTATCAACATGGCCCAGCGCTACCAATAAAGCCTAGTGAGATCAGACTCCCGATGGAGCCGTGGAGTCGGAAATTACCGCTCTGATCTGACACCGTGGCATGTGTCTGAGGATATTACGCAACAGTTGACAAATGCCTTCAGCGTTAGCTGCTTTCTATTAAAGTCTCCAAGCGGCTCCGATCAGATCTGCTTTCATTTCTCCCCCCGTTACCCCTCTCTCAATCCCTCTCCTTCTTCTCTGTATCTCTCTTCCGCTGGGTATCAGCCTCTATCTGTCTCTCTCTCTCTCTCACTTTCCCTCATTTTCCCTCTCTCAGTGTGTTCCTGGGCTGCGCTACAACGGCGGCTCTGTTCGTCTGGGTCTGATCTTGCTTGTGCATAACTCAGCTCTGCTCTGTGAGTCTGATCCGCCGCAGCTCGGCCCCGCGTCAAACAAAGGAGCAATTCTGTTAGAGAAAATTAAGAGCGTGCACAAGAAGGAGTGGGTGAGAGAGAGACGGAGAGAAAGAGACACAAAACAAGCCAGAATGCAGAAGAGGGAGAGAGAGAGAGAGAAAGAGAGGGAGAGAGAGAGAGAGAGCAGGAGAGAGGGAGAGAGAGCTGTGATGGTCAGCTGTGTTTTGGAACAGGGCAGCAGTGCTATTCTGGCAGACGCTCTGTTTATGTGTCTGTGCTGGATACTGGAAGGCCCGTCCAGCCATCGGTGCCCCCTAATCACACGCATTCTGGTGGTCCATTAACCCAAACTGATGTACATAAACACAGACACACATACTTTTGTGAGCTGGGTTGCATGAGCACCATACAGAGCACCATAATGTAAATAAGAGCTAATTTAATCAGGCACTTGTTTGATTCTAGTGGACCCAGAAACATTCTGAGATATCTGTTAAAGCCACTGCTAAGCAGAACAGTTAGAGCTCAAACCAGCTTAATTCATGCCTCTCTTTCGTAGTGAAAGGCGTCACTCTTCATTTTGAAGAAGTTACATTTTTCTAACATGGTTATCAGCAATAGGCCCAATCCCATTTCACCCCTCTCCCTACCACTGAGCCCTTAGCCCTCGCTTTTTGCGCATTCACGTCTAGGGGGTAAGGTGTCCTGATTTTTGTTGAGATAGAGGGGTGAAGTGTTCGGGCTACATGACCCTCCGAATGGAGGTTTTTCAGAGTGTTATGAGAAGTGGCAAAATGGCTGCACAAGCGGCCAAAGAAACCCACAAATCTGAATATTTTCTCCATTAAAAATTATGATAACCATTGTATTTTCTTAGTTTAATGTCGTTTCAATGTATTATGGTTGTTTTCTTCATAACTAGCATAAAAATTGCTAATAATATGCTAATGTATCGGTAGCTAGCTAGCTAAATTTCCTGCTCCACAGTCAAATTCGAGCAAGAAGCTGGTGAATATCTGACTTCAGCTTCATATCACTGAAGAATTAGGGGTGGGTGATAATAAATA